CAAGGATGGGGGGGAAAAAGCAAAACATACAGAAAACAAGAAATCGAAGATCATTTGCTAATAATAACATGTTTGTTGATGTGCTTGATTGAGACAATATACAGTGTACTCTGGATGGAAAATCTCATTTTGTATGCTGTAATGATGTACAGTGAATGAATGCAAATAAATAAATTAATAAAATAAATAAATAAATACATTAAGGAGTGTGCAAGTTGTCAGCTAGGTTTTTCCTAGGATCAGTCAAGTTATGGTGGTTTTGAAGTTCTACATATAGATTGTTTTTTATTTGAACAATTCTGTAAAGGTCAAGTCCTCAACTCTAAATAAAACAGAAAGAAAGAATATCAGGGAGAGTACCATTAAATATGAAGAACAGGGGACCAGCAGGTGGCGTGGTGATTAAGGTGCTGGACACTCCCACATGGTTAATCACGGTTTGAGTCCTGGACCTGGTGGTGTGCTTTCCCACTTTTCCCACTCTCTCTCTGGTCAAGTTAAAATAAATGAGTAAATAAAATTAATTAAATAAATAATTATTTTAAAAATATACGAAGAACAGAAACATAGAAAACTTAAGAAAACACACTTTAAAGTCTAGCTTCTCATTGCCAATAATTTGTATCTACTGTTTAACTAGCAGGCTCTCAGGGAATATAAGCTATCTTTCAAAAAATCAGCATAAGTAAAAGATATTCAGAAAGGCAAATCTGATAAAATAATTATCACTCAATACAAAGTCATGTATTTTTGGATTATTTACTACCTTTATTGGCATAATTGATGGTATTAATAACCATATACACAGAATATAAAAGTTTAAGATAGGGAAATTGAAGCAATCTTAAGTTTAGAAACAGAACTCATGAGAAAAAGTTTTTAAAAATTAAGTATGGAAACAAACATCGAAAGAAAGATTATGTCACCTAATAAGTAATTTGAATGCAGTACAAATGGCTTATGTTATAAACGCATAAAAAATGATCTTGGTAGAAAAGTATGGAAACTTTGTTGTGTTATTTAAGGAAATTCCATGGGCCAGCAGGTGGCATGGTGGTTAGGGTGCTGGATTCTTACATGGTTGACCACGGTTCAAGTCTTGGACCCTGCATCTTGAAAGTCACCCTAGGTGTGTCTGTGTGCATTCCCAAAAATCCCAAGAGAGGAATGGAAGAGAAGGGATTGTGGCATGGCCATCCCCTCTGGGAGGGTAATCCCTTACTTTATTTCTCCCTATCTGCTTCTAGCAGACACATGTGCCATATGGCAAAAACCTAAAAAAAAAAAAAAAAAAAAAAAAAAAAAAAAAAAAAAAAAAAAAAAAAAAAGGAGAGAAAGAAAGAAAGAAAAATAATTCCAAATGCTTATTTTAACAAAGTTGAAAAACAAATCTATCCTATATGTACATGGCAAAAATAAAGTTTTCTTCTTGAATTGTTTTATTAAATACACATTTGATGTAAAACCTATAGTAGCTGCCTGACCTTAGAAGCGATTTTGGTAAATTATGGTGTTGGATACTGGTAACTTACTAACCAAACAGTTGACACATTTACCACTCATAGACATTTACAGAGTCTACATCAATGGAGAAAGGTTGTTTTCAAGGGTTAATTCCAAATACCTGAAACTATTAATGGAGTTTTAAGAGTAGGTGCTGACACCAGAGACAGTGTGGGAGGATGGTGGGAAGTGGCAGAGGGTGACAGAGAGGGGGGTAAATATATATACATACACACACACACACATATATATATATGTGAAATATATATGTATGAAACAAGAAATGGAAAATTATTTGTTGATCATAACATGTATGATTAAGCCACTACGCAGTGTATTCTGGATGGGAAATCACATTTTGTATGCTGTGATGATGCGCAGGGAATGAATGTAGTAAATGAATATAAAATAAATTAATAATAAAAAAAAGAGTAGGTGCTGATTTGAATGTCCCTCTCCTCATGCATGTGTAAAATTTGGTGAGCCATTATGAAAGCACTAAGAGGGTGGAAACTTAGTCGGATTATAGGATTAAGAGGTAAGGCCTTTGAGAGGTGATTAGGATTGGATAAGGCTATCAGGGTGGGCCCCTACCTCGACCTGAATACTGGTGGGCTTATAAAGGGAGGGAATGAGATCAGAGACATGACACAAACATCTAATCTGCTCTCTCACTATGACATTCCCCACTGTATTATCCATCAACAAGAAGACCCTCACCAGATGCAGCCCCTTGACCCTGGACGTCCAAAACTGTGAGCTAAATAAATCTCTGCTCTTTTCAATTACTCTGACTCAGATATTTCTGTTACTAGCAACAGAACAGAGAGTAAAAATAGGTTCACTAGGTACTAGGTGCTTTACACTTGTTCGCCATGCTAATCTTGGCTGACTCAGTAATTTTTATATCTTTACCGAGAAAGAGAGAGAGAGAGAAAAGTACTTTTGTAAGCAGATAAAAACAAATATACATTTAAAATGGTGACATCTTTGTAATAATAGAATAAGCTAACGATGACAAAAAAATTAAATTGTTTGTCAGTTTAGTAATAGTTAAAACGAGATTTATCAAGCACATCTCTAAACTAGAATTACCTCACAGAAATGCAGCACACAAGATGAGAATGAGGCTGCTCCAGTGAGGAGGTTCTGTATATATCCTCGAGGCATATTAAATTTTTCAGACACACTCCAAACATTGGTCTCTTTGAGTAAGGTATAAAGAACAAATGACAGGTATAGTCTGTTGACAATGTCCTTATCCACCTTCTGGAAAGACACAAGCACACACATTCATGTACTTAACCTGGTAAAGATGAATGTTACAAAGTGAACAAAAGATAAAGTGAATCAGATTTGTACAACAGGCTATCACAGATAGAATGAGTCCATACAAACAAGACAAATTCCTAGCATATGTACTTAAGATTCATTCATGTTGATTATCATTTTTTAAGTAGAAACCTGAGATATGCCAAATCATTTCCAATTTAAGCTCCACTTTCTTCTCTGGGGAGTGTAGTATGTTGAATTATGTCTTTCCTAAAAACGAAATGTTTAAGTTCTAAACGGCCATACTTAAGAATGTGTACTTGGAAATGTGATCTTTGCATTGGTAAGTAGTTAAGGATCTTGAGGTGACATCATCCTGAATTTACAGTGAGCCCCAGGTTCAATGATGGGTGTCCTCATAAGAAAAGGGAAGGATGCAGGGAAGAAGGTCATGTGGAAATAGAGCCTGAGACTCGAGGAATGCACCCAAAAGCCAAGGAACGCCTAGGGTAGTTGGCAGCCACCAGAAGCTGGGAGAGTGGCATGAGGTGGCTCCTGGAGGAACCAACACTGCCAACACCTTCATGTCAGACTTCCGATCTCCTGATCTGTGACAGACTTGACTCTTTGAAGCCACTCAGTTAGTGGTAATGAGTTACAGCAGCCCTAGGAAACAAATACAGGGAGGGAGGGACTGGAGAGATCTTCACATCTACTGCGGCATTTACAAATGGTACGTGCGTATGACTGTGATTACAAAGTAGACAGAGTACTTTATGTAAATATGCTGATATACATGTCTATATTTTAAACTTAAAGTAAATGTTCAATTCTGATTTCCACATGGTCATGATAAATAATGCTTCCAAGTTAAAACACTAGAAGAGACACAAATATGCTTCCTGTAGTTGACAGTGCTTCCAAGTTAAAACACTAGAAGAGACACAGATATGCTTCCTATAGTTGATAATTTCCATTTGTGTACTGCTTTTGCCTACAGTGACTAGGGACTATATACTTAAATTTTTTTGCTATAGGGTGCATACACTTTCAAGAGACAGAGAGAGAGAAAGAGAGAAAGCACCCCGGGGTGATGGTCATGCTGCAATCCCTTCTCCATTCTCTTCTCGGGATTTTGGGCACACATGCACATGTGCCCAGAATGTTATCAAGCTGATAGGTCCAGGATGTGTACCACAGAATCAGCCACATGGATCCAGTCACCTTAACCACCATGCCACTAGCTGGCCCTAGGGACTATATATATATATTTTTTTTTTTTTTGGAGAGATTTTCACTGTAGGGCGCGTGCGCTCACCAGACAGACAGAGAGAGACATAGAGACAGAAAGCGAGAAATCACCCCCCAGGGGGGATGGTCACGCCGCAATCCCTTCTCCTCCATTCTCCTCTCGGGATCTTGGGCACGCACGCACACGCGCCCGGCGTGAGTTTTAAGCCACCGGGTCCGGGACATGAACCGCAGTCGACTACGTGGGAGTCCAGCGACATAGCCATTACGCTAACTGCTGGTTCCCTGGGACTATATTTTTGCATAAAGTATCTTTTAGTGAATACTAAGCTGAGAAACCAACTCACGCTTAAAATCAAAGAAAATGAAGGATGAATTTAAAAGAAAAAAAGTAGGTATACAATATAATATTATATCCTTTACTATAGTAAAAGACTATTTGAGATGAGACTGTAGGAAGACATGGTAAAGAATGTGTGAGCTACAGTTTCTGCATGTTAATACTGGACCACTCTTTTATTTTTTAAGAATTATTTATTTAATTTTATTTATTAATTTATTTATTTTAATTTGACCAGAGAGAGACACAAAGAGAGAGAAGGAAAGTGAGAAAGCAAGCCACCAGGTCCGGGATTCGAACCACAGTTGACCCTGTGGGAGTATCCAGTGCCTTAACCACCATACCACCTCCTGGTCCCAGTACTATATCACTCTTAATGAAAGCATTAAGCTGAGAAAGCATTATAGTTAAATAGCATGGATGAAAAGATGTTTTTTTAATTTCCCAATTTCAATTCACCTTCATTATTAACTATAAATTGAGTTAATGTAGGTTTTGCTTAGAATGTATTTCCTAAGCAAAAAATAATAATAATAATAATTATTAGATGGTAAGATATTTTATGCTAATTTCAAAATCTTATGCAAAAAAATATAAGAAAAGGAAAGATCTTTATCAATGTGGGGAAATCATATTTTAAGTAAATATTATATTATCTAATGTTCCAAAAACCGATATGTCCAAAAACATTAAATAACTAATCCATTCATAATTAAGATAAATTTATGTGCATACTATTTTAAATATTTAATTATCAATTTAACAAACATTTATTGACTGTATTATATATAATATAGCAAAAATAGGGACCAGCAGTTAGCATAATGGCTATGTCACTGGACTCCCACGTAGTCGACCGTGGTTTGCTTCCCGGACCCGGGGGCTTAAAACTCACGCAGGGCGCGTGTGCGTGTGTGCCCAAGATCCCGAGAGGAGAATGGAGGAGAAGGGATTGCGGCGTGACCATCCCCCCTGGGAGGTGATTTCTCGCTTTCTGTCTCTATGTCTCTGTCTGTCTGGCGAGCGCACGCATCCTATAGTGAAAAACCTCTCAAAAAAAAAAAATTCTGTATTCAAGTTAAAAAATAAGTATTATGCTGGGGCCAGTGGGGCTGTAGTAATGCCATGCTCTGTGGTGCTGAACCTCCACGGGAAGGTCCTGGGGTTGTATCCTGAGGCCTCACTGTACACACTGGATGTGCACGTGCAAGCCTGTGATTCAGGCTGGCTGAGGCTGGGGGGTGTATTATGGTGTGAAGATCCTGTTGGGAGTACCTATCTCTCTCTCTCTCTCATAGAAGAATTAAATACAACTTAAAAATGCATTATTCTGGGGCTGGCAGGTGGTATAGTGGTTAAGGTGCCGGACTCCCACATGGCCAACCACAGTTTGAGTCCTGGACTTGGCACATTGCTTTCTCGCCCCCCCACCCCCACCACCTCTCTTTCTCTCGCTCTCGCTCTGTGGTAAAATTGGAAAAATAATAATGATGATGAGTCAAATTAAATAAATCTTTATTAAAAATACATTATTCTAATAGGATTTTACATAGGTTTATTATTCGTTAATGAGCTCAAAAGATTTTATCATTTTACATTTTAGAGTTTGTATGAAAGGTTTCAAAAATTTTAAAATGTTTCTTTACTCATAATAGGGTATATGCATGTGCATCTGAGAGAGGAAGATGCACCCTCCAGAGTGTTTGGTTACGCTGCAATATCCCTCCAGCCCACCAGCCTGTTGGATGCTGGGCATTCATGCACATGCCTGGTGTGTTTCAGACTGACTGGGCCGAGGACACAAACTGTGAGTGCCATGTGGGATCTGGCTTCTCCTGAACAATGCACCACCGTGAGAACTGAAAGGATATTTTTATTCAACATTTTGAAGGTCAAAATAACATTTCTAAGGTACAAAATCCAGTCTAAAAATTACAATAGCATGAATGCTTAAGTACTATGTAGACTGTTTTAATTTTAAAACACAGCAATGCACGGGATAGCTGCACCATTCAATTCAAATGTAAGTAAATGCACCATCTTCCATTTTTGAAAATGAAATCAATACTACTTCTGTAAATGTAAAAGATATAGGAGGAAAATGGCAGAGAATTAAGTTTCAATGAAAACTGAATTACCAGATTAAATTTAAAATGGAAAAAAAAGTATATTATGTAAGAAAAAATTATATTAACTTAGGGAATTTGAAAGTATGGTTACCAAAGGATTATTTTCATTTCTTTCAAAGTTAGTGCACTAGACACTTGTTTCATGCTCACTGACTAAATTTTAAAACACCAAAATATAAGGTCACACAAAGGAATATTAGTTTATCTATTTTTGCCTTCTGAAATGCTTATGTACTGCAACCACTAGACTGAGAGTTCTCTGAGAAGGACAACAACAAAAATCAACAACAAAATACCCAGATCTATCTATCCTTTCTCAGATTCTTGATAGCAAGTAGAATGTTGAATATAAGGTTTCTGGAAAATATTTTTCTGGAATTGTACTTCCTTTAGGATTGCCTATTATCATGGAAACATTTTATAAATATTTTTAAATTTTTATAATATAAGCAGCCTGTGGAAAATAGATTAAGAAGGCTTACTGGGGTCACCAGGTGGCATGGTAGTTAAGGTGCTAGATCTCACATGGCTGACTGAGCAGTTCAAGTCCCACATCTGATGGCTTGAAAAACACGCCAGGTGGGTATGTGCGTGTGCATGCGTGCCCAAAATCCCAAGAGGAAAATGAAAGAGAAGGGACTATGCCATGGCCAACCCCCAGGGGGTGATTTACCATTTTCCTCTCTCTCTGTCTCTCTCTGGTCACACACACACACACACATACACACAAAGAAGGTTTACCTTTTCTTATGCTAAAAGCCCTGTATGTGCAAGATGGAACATTTCAGAGACACAAAGGTACAAAACAAAATGCAAACAAAGTCCATGACAACACCTGGAAATAAATTTTGTATAAAAAAATCACACACTGCAAATGCTAACATATTTTAAGTAGCAAAATGAGAATATTAATTTTTTAAATTGTGAAATAAAAAGATCAAATCCGTAAAGATGATATAATGGTATTAAGTTTATTGAACAAACTTACGCATTATTTTGGAAGAAAAAGAAAAGTATGGTACCTTCCTGATGGCTTGGCCTGATACCTTCCTCCCAATAAAGCTTTCAGAGACTCCGAGCAGAGTAGCTACGTTCTGTTCTGCTGGACTGAGCTGGCTCAACTACATGGAAAAATCAAATTGGAACTTTTTAAAATCTAGCATTTGACCAAATACAGCATTTTCTTTGATATCACACTTTTGTGATTTTAAAGATATGATAAACAGCATCGATTTACTTACAAGTATTGCAAGTTTGAAAATAAGATTAGTAGAATATAGCACACTTTATTAGAATGACTTAGACACGGCTGCAAGGTTGGTTTCCAAGGACTATGAGATGATGTTTAATACTGGAGAGCACTGGAAGGAGGACGAGGAAGGAAATGTTTGGAAAATAACTGCATTACATAGTATAACAAACTTATACAAATCATTTAAAAATAGATACTAAGCTCTTTCCGCCATCTTTCTGTGCCGCCATAAAGGTGCACATGAATGTCCTGGCTGATGCCCTCAAGAGCATCAGCAATGCTGGGAAGAGAGGCAAACGCCAGGTTCTTATTGGGCCGTGCTCCAGTGTCATTGTCTGGTTTCTAACTGTAATGATGAAGCATGGTTACACTGGCAAATTTGAAATCATTGATGACCACAGAGCTGGAGAAATTGCTGTGAACCTTACTGCCAGGTTAAGCAGTGTGGGATGACCAGCCTCAGATTTGATGTGCAGCTCAAAGATCAGGAGAAATGGCAGAATAATCCGCTCCCATCCATCAGTTTGGTTTCACTGTACTGACCACCTCAGCTGGCATCATGGACCACGAAGAGGCAAGACAGAAACCTACAGGTGGGGAACCCTGGGATTCTTTTTTTTAGGGATGTAACAACACACACATACAAATAAAATGCCTCATTGGAAAAAAAAAATACATGATATTAAAAAGAAAGTCACTAAGAACTGTACACTGTTTCTGCCTAAAATGTATTCATTCAACTGGCTGTTCACAGTAAAATCATATTAAACTATACTCTATCAGCTGGTTTTGTAACAAGTTAGGCCAATGCCACCTTGCTATTGGCTCCAAAATGAATATTCCTTCTTAGGTATTAACATCCTTGAGTTTGGTGTATCATCATGGAGCTTTCGTATTATCAAACCTTCAGTCATCAGAACTGGCTTTTACTGTTTTCTTATATCCTAGGCATTATAAATTGCAAACCTTAGAGGGAATGGGACCAGGGATAATCCTTTCCATTTTTTTTTTTTGTATTTTTCTTTGTGCTTTCAATAATGAGAATGTTCACATTTAACAGAAAAGTAATATTTAAATTAAACAAAACAAAAATGTTCCTACCTTATTACTTTTTTAAAAAAATGGAAACACAAAAGGCCCAATTATAATTAACAGAGAAGAAAAGTGAATACTTGACAAAAATTATATTATCATCCATAAAGCAGCCTACATTGAAAAATCTCATAGTCTCACCTGCCTGAAGTATATCATCCAGTCAGGGACACACTGAGAAACCAGATCATAGGGCGTTGTTAGATAGACCAGATGAAGAAGATTTTCCAGCACAAGTCCTTCGAGACCTTTCTTCAAGTCTTTGTAGAGAGTGTCACAATAAGCTAAGTCTATAGTTCCTAAAAGATATTATGATATAAAGTACTGTTTAGAAGTGACCTAAGTATATTAGAAAGTCTTCAAAGTCCTTTACATGTACCATTTTGGAGGTCATTTTGCTAGTAACCATCAACATCTAATATGTAGGTATCTTCTGATATGCTACTCTGTTTGGGGGAATCTAACCTAAACAAATAGTTCCACATGTACCCCAAAATATGTAAATGGGGATGTCTAGGCAGCTTTGTTGAAACGAACAAAAATCAGAAACAATGTAGATGTTCATCAACAGGGAAAGGGGGGTACATCCGTAACAGGGATGACTCCAGTGTTAAAAGAAAAATAAGCTAGACTGAAGGAGACTGTTAAAGTGTTCATAATATTTTACAAGTCAGAAAAGCAAGTTGTTGAAAAAAATACTCACATAATGATTCCACCAAATAAATATCGATATGCATATGCACACATACATGCATACATGAATGTACACATGTCCATGAAGGGACTTCAAAAGTTTGTGAAAAATGGGATTGAAGTATGACTTTATTTTGGTATAAAAAAATTTGAAATCCATGAATTTCCTAGGAACTTTCTGAAGACCATCTCATACATGTATACATACACATAAAAATATCTGGAAAAATATACCAAACCTATAACAGTGGTAACCCTTGAAAGAAATGGAACAGGAGTATGAGGATTCCCCTAAGACAATCCTGAGTTCTTAGGATTTAATAGACATGTATTATTTTTTATTAAGTAAATTAGAATGCATTTATTTTATTTTTAAAATTATTTTCTTTATCTATTCATTCACTTATTTCAATTTGACCAGAGAGAGATAAAATGAGAGTGAGAGCAAGAGCGAGAGAGCAAGAGAGCGAGCGAGAGAGAGAGACAGAGAGAGAGATAAAGCAAGTCGCCAGGTCCAGGACTTGAACCGCAGTCAGCCATGTGGGAGTCTAGCACTCCTAACCACCAAGCCACCTGCCATCCCTAGAATGTATTTATTTTTAAAAACTCTTCATTCATTGTTATAGAACTACATCTAAGATATTATATTAAGCAAAAAATGCAAGTTCCAGAACAATATGTGATTATTTACTTAAAGGGTAAACTTGTAAATAGGCACATATTTGAAAAAAATGTATGTATTATGCATTGAAATGAACTATACAGCGCAAGTCTGGAAAGATATATACCAGACTATTATTCTTGGTAGGATGTTAAGATTTCTGTGCTTGCTGGGGGAGGGATGACCATTTTTTTCCTCTATGTATTTCCACAGTATTTTATTTACTTATTATTTGAAACATTTTTCAACTTTTCAAAGATTGAAGCAGTTTATCAGCTTACAAGATTATTAATATGAAATTATAAGTCCAATTTATAGTAAGGATCATTTAATTTCTATTTTTTACCATGCATTTCCTCAGATTAATAATTAGATTTGGGGGGCCAGCAGGTGGTGTGGTGGTTAAGGTGCTGGATTCCCACATGACTGACCATGCTTCGAGTCCTGGATCTAGTGGCTTGAAAATCATACCAGGCACCTGTGCCCAGAATCCTTCGAGGAGAATAAAGGAGAAAGGAATTGTGCATGGCTGTACCCCAGGGGTTGATTTCTCAGTTTCCTTCTGTCTCCCTGTGGCAAGCACATGCATCCTATGGCAAGAACCTTGAAAACAAACAAACAAAAAAATGAGATTCAGAAACTCTTACCCTTAAAAGAAGCTCGTCCCAACTTTGTAATACGAAAGGCACACTGAAACTCTTCCTCGGACTTGTCATTGATGTCTTTTTGAAGGAGTCCTTTCTCTGTCAGGTATCTAAGTGATTCAACAGTTACTTCCCAGAGACTTTTTTCTTTTAATAAAATCTTTTGCTGAACACCAAAAAATGTGCCGTTCATAAAGTGAAATATGTCACCGAGATTTGTTGCAATCTGTAACAATTCAGGACATCACTGGAGCGTTTTCCTTAATTCATGGCCTCACTCTGAATGTACCTTAATCAAGGTAATGCCTCGTTTCCAGTCCTCAAAGCTATTTAAGTAAAAACTTAATATAAAATCTACACAGTTGCATATGTAATTTTAAAATGGTATGTAAAAGTAACAAGAAAAAACAAGTTGAAGTTATGGACAGTTACCATATTCAGCCTTTTTAGGAAAATGTGTACATTTTTCAATCAAACACTCCTTAGGTTTGTGAAGAACTTTCTATAATATATCTCTAGGATCAGGCACTATTTTATCTACAATGTTACTTAAAAATAAATATAGTTGTCACTTGGTATCCTTGGCAGATTAGTTCTAGTATTTTCCTACAGATACCAAATCCAAGGATGCTCAAGTCTCTTTTACAAATGGCACAGGGCCATTGACCTTTCACAGGCCAACTGTAGTAGCTTTCTACCTCTTTTTCTAACAACAACAACAAAATTATTTAATTTTATTATTATTAATATTATTGTTATTTAATTTGCTATAGGACACATGCGTTTACCAGAGAGAGAGAAAGTAAACCAAGCCACCAGGTACGGGACTCAAGCTGTGGCCAGCAATGTGGGAGTCCAGTACCCTAACCACTATGCCACCTGCTGGCCCTGCTTTCTACCTCTTTTTGTCTCTCACTCATATCTTCTTTTCCTATTTTTTCATCACCTTTTTCTCTCCTCCTCTTATTTACTATTTACAACTTACAATGCAATCATAAGTAATACTTAATCCTCCGTTTGGTACTCTCATGCAGAGCTGACTGAATTAAAATAACCTTTTTTAAGCCAATTTCAAGGAAATCAAGCATTTTAGGCTAAAATATAGTCAATCAATAAGTACATTTCTCGCTTGAAATTCTAATGATATTTCAACTGGAAAATTTAAGCAGTTATTTCATATTAAGCCAATTTAAAGAACAACAAAATATTATGAGACGGAGACATTTTTTATTGCTTTTCCATGCTTTAAATAAAAAACATTTTTCTTTTCTAGAGGGCACATATGCTCACCAGATAGACACAGAGAGAGAGGAGAAAGCACTCCTTCATGGGGCATGGTCACCATGCAGTCCCTTCTCCACTTATCTCCCTCTTTCAGTTTTAGGCACACTTGCACATATGCCCAGAATGTTTCCTAACCCTCTGGGTCAGGGACTTGAACCACGGGGTTGGCAGTGTGGGATCTGACTGCCTTAACCACCAGACCCCAAACCATGTTTTTAAAAGAATTATTTGCATTTGTTGTTATTAATTATTTTTTACTTTGACCAGAGAGCAACAGAGAGAGAAAGGGAAAGTGAGAAAGCAAGCCACCAGGTCCAGGACTTGAACAGTGGCTGGCCATGTGGGAGTTCAATGCCTTAACTACCACACCACCTCCCAGCTCCCCTGAAACCATTCTTAATATAGCACTGAATTAAACTAAAATTGTCTGTCTAGTCAAAGATAACATTTTTCTCCTATGTTTTGTACTCAAACTTTTATCTTACCTTTTAAGTTTAGGTCTAGAATCCATTTTGAGTTAATTTTTTTGTACGTTATGGGTAGAGGTTAATTTTTTTTCTATTCCATGTGGATACTCAAATCTTCTAGTACCATTTGTTGAAAAGACTATCCTTTCTGGGACCAGCAATTGGTGTGATGGCTATGTCGCTGGACTCCCATGTAGTCAAGCGCAGTTCAAGTCCCAGGCTTGGTGACTTAAACTCATGCCGGGTGCGTGTGCATGTGTGCCCAAGATCCCAAGAGGAGAATGGAGGAGAAGGGATTGCAATGTGGCCAACCCCCCGGGGGGTATTTCTCACTTTCTATCTGTCTCTATCTTTCTGGTGAGTGCATGCGCCCTATAGCACCCCCCCTACCCCCCCACCCCCGACACACACAAAGGCTGTCCTTTCTGCATTGAGATATTTTGGCACTGTTGTAAAAAATCAACTGACCTGGGGGCTGGCAGAGATGCGTGACAGTGACAATGTCCCAACTCTTAGCATGCACTTCCATCTTCCCCATGCTACCACACATGGTCTTGCCCCAAATTTCCCACTCAGCCTTCTATTCTTCAGGGTCCTCAGCCTTCCTCAAGAGCTAAGGTCCACTGACTATAACCACACATAATCTTAAGCTTTGTTATTTTTCTTTCTATTTTAAGCACCTTAACCACCACGCCAATTGCTTGTCCCTTTTCGATTTTCTTTTGTACTGTCACTTAAACTGCTCGTGTTAATGAACACAGACTACATGATGTAAGAAGGGTTTTGTAGTTATGTTAAGCTGAATTCAAACCCTGGCTTTGCCACGTGATCCTGACACAAGGCTAAAATTTAATCAGCTCAAGAATAACTCTAGAAACCAGCAGGTGGCAGGGTGGTTAAGGTGCTGGACACTCCCACATGGCCGACCACAGTTTGAGTCCCAGACCTGGTGGCTTGCTTTCTCACTTTTCATCTCTCTCTCTCTCTGTTCTCTCTAGTCAAATTAAAAAATAAGTGAATGAATATATAAAATTAAATAAATAATTCTTTTTTAAAAAGAGAATAACTCTAAAATAGAGATTTAATGAAAAAGTAACACTAAGATAACAGGTCATTTCTAATCTTAGGAAAAAGGGCTTTTCCTGTAGTGCTTTTCCTCTTAACCTGATGAGGCTATATTGATCTCCTATATGTTTAAAATGACCCTAAAAGGCCATGGGACCAAAGGATACCTGTCCCCTAATAAGGGCAGAGGTGCCAGATTATCCTACATCAGGACAGTAGCTTGCAGTTTCTTGTATTTCCCAGAGTGTCTGCCAACGTCTCTTACTTGTGATAGACAGTGGTTAAAATTCGTTGATTTTTTGTATGTTTTTTATAACTCAAAGGATTAAAAATGCACACATAAATCCAGCAGATTTATCATATCATAGACTTCCACTTCATTTCATTAGATTTGAAATGAACATTTCTTTCAAGAATACCTCTAGAAACCAGCAGGTGGCAGGGTGGTTAAGGTGCTGGACACTCCCACATGGCCGACCACAGTTTGAGTCCCAGACCTGGTGGCTTGCTTTCTCACTTTCCATCTCTCTCTCTCTCTGTTCTCTCTAGTCAAATTAAAAAATAAGTGAATGAATATATAAAATTAAATAAATAATTCTTTTTTAAAAAGAGAATAACTCTAAAATAGAGATTTAATGAAAAAGTAACACTAAGATAACAGGTCATTTCTAATCTTAGGAAAAAGGGCTTTTCCTGTAGTGCTTTTCCTCTTAACCTGATGAGGCTATATTGATCTCCTATATGTTTAAAATGACCCTAAAAGGCCATGGGACCAAAGGATACCTGTCCCCTAATAAGGGCAGAGGTGCCAGATTATCCTACATCAGGACAGTAGCTTGCAGTTTCTTGTATTTCCCAGAGTGTCTGCCAACGTCTCTTACTTGTGATAGACAGTGGTTAAAATTCGTTGATTTTTTGTATGTTTTTTATAACTCAAAGGATTAAAAATGCACACATAAATCCAGCAGATTTATCATATCATAGACTTCCACTTCATTTCATTAGATTTGAAATGAACATTTCTTTTATACTTTACATTTGTATAACATTTTAGTCTCTATTGTCTCAGGTAACATAATGAAATTTTAAAAAATTAAAAATACCTTCAAGCCAATTAAAGAGAGAAACAAAGTGTGGATTCCCTTGGTGAATTCCTGAATAAGTTGGCTGTAACAGTTTTCCAATGGTCTGCTTATTAATGCCGATACCTTTCAAAGTTAAAGCAATATTATACTTTGTGTTATTATTAAAAACAAATGATGTTCCATATAAATACATAAAGATTTGACACTATATAAATCTTGTGGAGCCAGGGGAAATAAAACAACATCAAAAAAAAACAAAGACAACATATAATACAAATTTTATAGTATCCTCATAGAAATGGAAGCAAGATAGAGAAAATATTCTTCTATCATCTGAAATATAAAAATATTTAGACTATTCTAATTCTTAATCACATAGGAGAAGGAAACACTATTTATTTATTTATTTACTTATTTATTTACTCATATTTTTTTGGGAGAGGTTTTTGCTATAGGATACATGCGCTTGCCAGAAAGACAGAGAGAGATAGAGAGACAGAAATCACCCCCCGGGGGGGATGGCCATGCCACAATCCCTTCTCTTCCATTCTCCTCTTGAGATCTTGGGCATGCATGCACACACACCCGGTGTGAGTTTAAGTCACCGGGTCTGGGATTTGAACAGTGGTCGACTACATGGGAGTCCAGCCACATAGCCATTATGTCAACTGCTGGTCCCAAGAAGCACTATTTATAAGGATATTAATAACTAATTTTTAAAAGATAATCTTATGAAAGGGCTAGACCAAAGACAAAAGAGGACAAAAACAACCAACCAGACCAAGCGTTATTACCTGCTGTCTGTCCTTCTCTTGTAATATAAGGATACTCTCCCCGACAGTATCTATTCCAGCACGGCCAGCTCTGCCGATCATCTGTTTATATTGATTCCTCTTTAAAAATTCCTTGGCAACATAGGGGGCCCTTAAAATAACTCTACAGAATTGATGAAATTAATTAAAATGCCACTCAGTTAATGGCAATAGCACTTATTTGTTAAACCTTTCATTTCATTACAGCTATGTGATATTGAATTTAATGACATGTAACTCAAAATAAGTAACTATTATTTACCAAGAATCTATGATAGCTTAGGTTCTTTTTTTTTTTTTTTTTTTTTTTTTTTAGGGTTTTTGAATAACCAGAGAGAGATCACCAGAGAGAGAGAGAAAGTGAGAAATCATTCCCCCAGGGGAAATGGCCATATTGCAATCCCATCTCCTCCATTTTCCTCTCAGGATTTTGGGTACACACACATTCACATCTGGCCTGACTTCCAAGTTTCCGGGTCCAGGGTTTGAACTGAGGTGGGCCACGTGGGAGTCCAGTGCCTAGCCACTACACTACTTTCTGCCCCCTATTTTAGGTTCTTTATATATATTAGCTATGATTTTTCAAACCGCCTAGCAACAACATTCTTTTTGTTTATTTATTTATTTTTGTTTAGTAAGTGCCTCCCCCTACACCAAAAGTTAGTTACCAGAACCATCATTTGAACTGAAGTCTGATTAGCTACGAGGTGTTCAATCTGGGGCAGTACTGTCTCAGTTTTTTATTTTATATTCCATAAATGAAAAATCTGGCCATGCACCATCAACATATTTACCCATTTCTTTAGAGAGAGAGACAGACAGACAGAGATAGAGACAGGTACCCTCAACAGGGCCCTCACCCTGTGATCCACCTTCAGCCAGCCTTGGCCATAGTTGGGTGTGTGCATGTCACAGATGCCCAGTGCACACAGAGACCCTAGGACCCTCCCATGTGTGTCTAGTTGCTTATAGTTACACTACTGCCTGCCCCCAGAAGAGAACTTTAAAAAATTCTTATTAGTATCCACAGAAAATTCCAGAGGGTGTTACATTTACAATATGAAAGCTAAAATAGAGATCTTGGAAATAAAAAAAAAAATTCAGTTTAAAATTCAACTAAAGAATCAAATAATGAATAACAATAGTTAATGGATAGTTAAAAGTCGATTTTTTTTTTTACATAGAAGGCAGAGTTGAAGAAATCACATAACACAAATAGAACAATATATAAGAAAAAAGGTATGAAGTCTCAACTAAAGAGGCCCCAATCCTGTCTAGCTGAAGTTACAAAAGCAGAGAACAAAGAAGGGGGAAGGAAATATAGAAATGACAAAAAGAAATTACTCAAAAGTTTAAAAAAAGGGGGCACCCAGTGGTAAAACGTTCTGTGAGGTTGACCCTCATGTAAGGTTCTCAGTTCAGGCCCTGAGACCTCCCTTAGTACGCCGGGCACATGCTGTCCATGATCAAGGACTCAAGGCTGTGGGTGGACTGTGACATCAGGACCCTGTTCAGGGTGCTGTGTCTCTCTCTCGCTCATGGTAGAGATAAATAAAAATGAAAACAAAAACAGAAACAAAAACAAGGCCAGCAGGTGGCATGCTGCTTAAGGTGCTGGATTCTTTCTGGCTAACCACAGTTTGAGCTGCAGTCCAGCAGTTTAATAATCACGCCAGGTGCATGTGTGTATGTGCTCAAAATTTTGAGAGGAGACTGGAGAAGGGATTGTGGTGTGGCCATCCCCTGAGAGGCAATTTCTCACTTTCCTTCTATCTGTCTCTCTCTGGTGAGCATACATGCTCTATGGCAAAAACCTTAAAAAAAAAAAAAAGTTTAATTATAACTTAAAATTTCAAGAGTTGGGCAAAACTTATAGTACAGTGGGTTAGGGAGTAGGATCCTACATAACCCATGGGTGCCTTGAAAAACACAACTGGGGAGACCAGCAGATGGCATAATGGTTACGTCACTGGACTCTCACGTAGTTGACCACGGTTCCAGTCCCGGACCTAGCAGCTTAAACTCACGCTGTGTGTGTATGTGTACATAAGATCCCTAGAGAAGAACGGAGGAGAAGGAATTGTTACATGGCCTTCCCCCCTTGGGAGGGGAGGTAATTTCTTGCTGTCTCTCTGTTTCTCTAGCAAGGGCATGTGCCCTATAGAAAAAAAAAAAAAAACCTATCTTTGGAAAAAAAAAATTTAAAAAAGAAAAAGAAAAGAAAAACACCCTGGGCATGTGTGCATGCATGCCCTAATTCATGCCAGGATAGATAGACGGAAGAGGAGATAATAGTATAATCGTGCCCCACTGCAGGGTTCTCTCTCTCTCTCTCTTTCTGTTTCTTGTCTCTCTCTGGCAAATATATGCACCCTCTGGTAATAAAAATTTTTAAAGACTAATCACTGGAGTAATAGAAGTAGTATATGTAACTTTAAATTTTTTCTTCAATTATCTGAAAAATATCTAGAAAAGTTAATTAGTGACAGAGTGGAATTTGAAGGATGAAAAAATACAGTTAGCCAAAAAAAAAAAAAAATTCCTAGTATTTAAAGCAAAATCATGAAATGAGGAAAACAAGGATCTGTCATTTAATAAAAGTTATGACAACAATATAATTAACGGAGAAAGTAACTTGTCTCTCGGAAACTGACAAAGGAATAAAAGATACTAAGAAAATATGAAGGCTGATAACACAATTAACAACTGTGATCTCATTGATCTATAGAAAACTGTATGCCCAACAGAAAATACATGTCTTTTAACATTCATAGAACATTTATAAAAAATTGATCATTTATTAGGGAAAAAAAAAAACCTTGTCACAAATGATAAAGAATAGAGTAGAAATTGATTATACAGGTCCATAGCCTGTATGTACAGTTATTAGGTCAACAGAAAAAGCATAATACATTTTTCTATGCAAAAAAAAAAAATCAGTGATTGCTCTTAAAAAAAAATTAGATTCAAATGGCTTTATGAATTAGTAAGCCAGAGTTTCAGGGACATGCCTATATTAAATAAATTATTTCAGATCATGAAAAAGTCACTATTCTATACAACTATTTTTAGGATAATAAAACCTAACATCAAAAACAGTTGGGGAGAACATTTAAAAAAAAAAAAAAAAGAGGAAAGAATTCTAATACCAGGAAACCTACTAATGTTATTTTTGAATAATTATTTAAAAAAAAAATGAGCTCAGCAAAAGCTGAACGTTTGATAAAGTCTCACCCATTACTGAGAAAAAAATAGAACGGTACAAAAACCTCTTTGCAAATTAGGAATTCACATTTCCAGCCTAGTCAGCAGTGACTTAACTCTTACCTTCGAGCAGGGAGGTTGACACCTGCGGCTAGGGTAGACGTGCAGGTAAAAAGACAGAGAACTCCAGTGGAGTAAGCCTCCTCTAAGAGCTTCCTTTCATCACTCGTCAAGCCACTGTGGTGATAGGCAACTCCAAACGGGACAGTGCGCTTTAAAACAGGGCAGAGGTGGCCATTGCCAATGTGCTTCAGGTTCTTAATCAGCTCCTGTTTTTCTTTCTCTCTCTGTTTTAGGTATTCCCTAAGGGAAAAGATCTGTTAGAGATAACAGCCTGTAATTCACGATAAAAATAAAACAGAATATTTTAAAAATAGTAACATACTTGCTTAAAAATTTGCATATCATTTCTGCTACGTTTTCACAGTTCTTTTTACTGGGACAGAAAACTAAGCAGGAATAATTGGGAATAACTTCTGTCACCAATGCTACCAAGTGATCGGGATCCATCTTTTTCAGGGCGTCAGAATACTGCAAAACAAGAAGACAAAGGAACAACGGTAGTCAGTAATAATAAACACCTGATAATTTTTTACAAGTATGATTTGAAAAGTAACTAAACTTTCCAACATTCTGAATTTATCATTTAATACATATGAATAGGGTCAGCTGGTGGCATGGTGGGTAAGTGGCTGGATCCACATGGCCAACTGCTAAGTTTGAGTCCCAGACCCGATAGCTTTAGAAATACACTGGGGGGACCAGCAGATAGAATAGTGGTTACATTGCTGGACTCTCACATGGCCGACTAGAGTTCAAGTCCTGGATGTGGTAGCTTGAAAATCACACTGGGCACGTGAGCATGTGTGCCCACAATCCTGGAAGGAGAATGGAGGAGAAGGGATTGTGGTGTGGCCATCCCCCCAGGGGGGGATTTCTCATTTTCCTTCTCACTGACTCTGTCTCTTTCTCTCTGCGGTGTAGGCTATGTGTCCATGTTCAAAATCTCAAGAGGGCAATTTCTCACCTTACCTCTTTCTTTCCCTCTCTGGTGAACACACATGCCCACATGCCCTCTGGCGAAAACAGAAAGGGGGGAAAAGGATGCCATGGTAATAAATCTATTCATTTGGGACCAGCAGTTAGCGTAATGGCTATGTTGTTGTACTCCCACGTACTCGACCGTGGTTCGAGTCCCGGACCTGGTGGCTTAAACTCACGCCGGGAGCGTGTGCGTGCGTGCTCAAGATCCCGAGAGGAGAATGGAGGAGAAGGGATTGCGGCGTGGCCATCCCCCCTGGGGGGTGATTTCTCGCTTTCTATCTCTCTGTCTCTCCCTCTGTCTGGCGAGCGCACGCACCCTATAGTGAAAAAAAGCCTCTCAAAAAAAAATCTATTCATTTAAAAGATGAAACCTTTATTAAACACCATAATGTTAAATCCCACTTTTCTTTTAGCTTATTAGCATTTTATTAGGTATACTTGACTAAAAAACAAAAACCAACTATAATTGAGGAAGTAAATTAGAGAAAATTAAAAGTGAAAAGTTAATGCTGTTAATAATCCCACTACGTGTCTATCCTCACTAAAGCAGAACAAAAAGGTCACAGAGACAAATAGGGATTGTTCTTAATAATGTGAAAAGACTGTAGAAATAAAATAAACCCATTTTATGACAAATAACTTTTTTTTTTTTTTTTTTAGAGTTTTTTGCTATAGGGCACGTGTGCTCACCAGAAAGACAGAGAGACACAGAGAGACAAAAAGTGAGAAATCACCCCCCAGGAGGGATGGCCATGCTGCAATTCCTTCTCCTCCCTTCTCCTCTCGGGATCTTGGGCACACACGCACATGCACCCGGCGTGAGTTTAAGCCACCGGGTCCAGGACTTGAACAGTGGTCGACTACATGAGAGTCCAGAGACATAGCCATTACGCCAACTGCTGATCCCGAGAAGTAACTTTTAAAAACACAGATTCAATCATATTAAAGAATATATGAAGGGATTTCAGAAATTCTGGAAAAGTAGAATTAAAGTATAAGGTTATTTTGGTAGGAAAAAAGCTTTGAAATCAATGTATAGCTTTATAGCTATAAATTTTTCACAAACTTTTTTTTTGAGAGAGAGAGAGATTTTTTTTTGCTATGGGGCATGTGCACTTGCCAGAGAGACAGAGAGACAGAAAGTGAGAAATCACCTCCCTGGGGTGGGGGATGGCCATGCCACAATCCCTTCTCCTCTCTCCTCCTCTTGGGATTTTGGTCACGTGTGTGCATGTGCCTGGTGTGTTTTAAACTGCTGGATCTGGGACTTGAACTGTGGTCGACTACTTGGGAGTCCAGCAAGGTAACCATTTACATCACCTGCTGGTCCCTCCACAGACTTTTTGAGGACCCATCATACTCTTAGAAATAATATGTATCACTGAATTATGTAATTTTGGCAAGACTACCACACACATTGAAAAAACGAAACATGAAGAAAAATGCAGTTATTTAAAATCTCCTCAGTTCCTTCAGCGGTATCAAAAAAACCAATATATAGATTTAGAATAACAGAATTCTAAAACTACTTAAAATCCCTTTCTCCCTTTTAGATTATCTTTCATATAAGTCATAAATATTAGCATAGTAGATAGTAACCTTTTTTATACCAATGTCTGAGCTACATGGTCATGAATTATTTTATTGTTGTGGAATGACTAAATGTTTAAGGGAGAAGTTTCCAATTATCTTGGTTCACAGAGCTAAGAAATATCTAACAAGACCAAAAGAAATATCTAACGGTTTTGTTAATTAGCCAGTTAGGTCTAAGTGATTTCATGAATATGTACTTTCTCACAGTTGGTAATTGTCTGAATAAAGAAAACATATCAGTTGAATAAAAAATACCTTCTTTCATTCTTAAATAACCACAACAACTAATTAATAGGATATGCACACAACTCTTTTTTTTTTTTTTTTTTTTGGAAAGGGGTTTTTTTCTTAACGGGGGGCACCGGGGACAGAGAGACAGAGAAACAGAAAGCAAGAAATCACCATCCAGGAAGGATGGCAATACCACCATCCCTTCTCCTCCATTTTCCTCTTGGGATCTTGGACATGATGCCGGGTATAAGTTTCAAGCCACTGGGTCTGGGATTCGAATCACAGATGATCATGTGGGAGTCCAGTGCCTTAACCACTACGCCACCTGCTGGCCCCATAATTCTTTCTTTTAAACCTTGGAATGAGACTAGACATAGCCCCCAACTGTCTGTTCCAGACTGATTTTCACATGGTATTTGCTTACAACCGACCAAACCCCAACATAACAAAGTTCTGATGTCATAGAAAGGAATACAGTGTGTCTAATGTTACAAACTAGCTATTTTGAAACAGTAGTTTGTATGGTGTCAACAGACCAAGCATCACCTGATTCATTCAAAAGTTTAACCTACCCCGTGATACCCATGTGACATCTGGGCACAAATTCGGAGAATCTGGGATTGAAGGGTTAGCTATGTTACCTTATAATCAAGGAGACGTGAAAAAGTCATCCCATTCTCAGCTTTGCTGTCAACCTCATATATTGTATCATTGATTTTCAGATATTCTTTTAATTCAACCTTGAATTAGAAGGACATTGTAATTAATACCACATATAAATTTCTCTTTCTAGACTTTTAAATTTTGCAAATTTGTTGTGTAAAAAACCCTATAACAGCAGTTATACAAAGATTTTGGCTTTTCTAAAATATGTAAATCATACTTCAAACTTTAAAAGTCCTTGCTTTACCATTTCTTTTTTTATTTTTTTAATCTTTCCCCTTTAAACCAAAATAGGAATCTATATCTTTGTTTTTTTAAAAAAAAATAAACATTTCTTAGGAATTATTTATTTAATTTTATTTATTCGTTCGTTTATTTTGACTAGAGAGACACAGAGAGAGAGAGACAGAGAGAGAGAGAGAATGGGAAAGTGAGAAAGCAAGCCACCAGGTTCGGGACTCGAACTGCGGTCGGCCATGTGGGAGTGTCCAGCACCTCAGTCACCATGCCACCTGTTGGTCCCCAGGAATCTATATCTTTGAAGAAATGATTTTGTCTCGAGTAGCCACATATCCAAAGGAAACCACCACTTAGGTATTTGTCATAAGAAGTATGAGTAAGTCATGGTGTTCTTCTCTTCATCTTTTGTTAAGGAGTTATTGGGTCATTGGAAAAGTCACGACACACTTTTACATAGAAAAAAATGCTTTATGACTTTCCCAATGACCAAATATTTGTGTTATTCATTTAGATCTAAAATTTTCTGTCTAATTAGTCATCAGCTTTAATTCCAAATACTACCATATGTTAAATTTAAGTATCTGCCGACAAAAATAGCTTGTAAACACAGCTCACTGCACTTTTAAAGAATAGCATCTAAAATGACAATTAAGGTCAGAAAATATTTGTATTTGGGACAAATGTAAATATACGGAAATTAAAATTTAATGATTCTGGGGCTGGCAAGAGGTGTGGTGGTTGAGGGTGATGAACTCCCATATGGCCAAGCATGGTTCGTATCCTGGACCTGGCAGCCTTGCACGCATGCTCTCTCTCTCTCTTTCTTTCTGGGGAGACAATAAAATAAATGGATAAAGTTAAATAATTCTTAAAAAAATTAATGGTTCTCAAACATTATATTCTGAAAGCCTATTTAGACATAGACCATGCACACTGGCACTGCTCATAAGAAATAACTACTGTTGAATAACTAGAAATTACATGTGCTCGCCTTCTTTAAGCATTTGGGAATGGTGTTTCTGAGCAGTCTAAATTTAAATCCATACAAAGTCTTACCTTATTAAAAATTCTTTTACTACCAGTGTAAATATTTGAAAATATTTTAAGATACATTTTTAAGTGTCGATAACTTAAAACATGTTTCACCAAATTTTGACCAAATGAAAAATATTTATCTTAAAAAATAAAAAGTGGGGACCAGTGGATGGTGTAATGGTTATGTCACTGGACTCCCACGACCCAGTGGCTTAAACCTCATGCTGGGTGCCTATGCGTGCATACCCAGGATCCTGGGAGGAGAAGGGATTGCAGCATGGCCATCACCCCTCAAGGGTGATTTCTCACTTTCTGTGTCTCTGGTGAGTGCACGTGCCCTATGGTAAAAAAACTCTCAAAAAAACAAAACAAACAAACAAAAAAACCCCAAAAAACAAAAAACAAAAGACAGAAAGAAAATAAGAAGTGAAAAAATAGAATGGATCTGGTAAAATTTATTCAATAAATGTTGAGGGTCATGGATTAGACACTGTTCCAGGTGTAACAGAAACACTAGTGACCCAAGCCACAATCCCTCACCCCAGAGTTTATGGTCTCTATACACAAACTCTTATCAGCGTCCAGCCATGATGAATGGAATTGAGACCCTTTACTACTCCATGGCATTTTTATATACTGTACTATATTTACTACTTTTGTTTCTAAGTGAGATAGATACACAACAAATCAATACACTGCAAACCTTAGGTACATACTGGTCTAAACTGACTGGTGTAATACTCCGCTTGAAGGAACTCTTGGAGGTCTTCGACATTGTTTAATGTTGCACTCATCCCAATAATTTGAGTTGTCTCTAAAAACAAACAAACCCCAAAGTATTAAGAAACATGTATTATTTAATGTATCATAAAGTAATTTTAGTCAGCTCTTTGTTCTCAGAATTCTTCCTGAGTAATTTGGGGAAAGGGAGAGAGGGGAAAGTAATTGAGAAAAACACAAACATATTACTAGAGTATTAACCTGGTAATCAAAGAAAGAAAGCCTTCAAGTATCTTGAAAATTACTACTTAGAATTTTATGAAAATTCAAACTTATCAAGAAGTAGGATATTTATTAACAGAATTAAGTATTTTTATAGGTCTGATTATAAATCAATGACTAGCTCCATTTAAAAAAAAATACTTACTGCTAGTGTAGAGGACCTTTGCTAGCGTCATTTCCAGTATAGCCCCGCGGCTTCCTTCACCAATCATGTGCAACTTGGAGATTAAAAAAAAAAAAGAGGGCAGAGAAATCAATTTTCATATAATGCCCATATAAAACACATACATTTGCATGGAATAAATACATAACCCATGTTTTATAACTCTGACACTTTCTAGCACTATTTTAAAACTGTATACGCACACATATTTAGACATTAGGAAACACATGACAAACCAAATTTAGGATTACCAAGAATGGAATGCTGTATGTATTAAAATAAACACAGGGGGCCAGCAGGCAGTGAGGTAGTTTAGGAGCTGGACTCCCACATGCCTGACTGCAATTCAAGTCCTGAACCTGGTGGCTTGCTTTCTCACTCCCCGCCCTGCCCTCTCTCATCAAATTAAAAAATAATAACAAATAAAAGTTGAATAATTATTTTTTAAAAATTAAATAAACACCTGTATTTTGTTTATATATAAAAATAGATTGCCGACTCTTTTTTATAAAATACTTATTTTTATGGAAGTACAAAGCAGATCTAAATAATAATCAGGATAATAAATATGTTAGCATAATAAAAATGTTGATGGGGCCAGCAGGTGGTGTGGTACTCCCAAGTGGCCAACTGCAGTTCACATTCAGACCTGGAGGTTTGCTTTCTCACTCCCCTCACCTCCCCCTGGTGAGCATGCATGGCCTATAGAAAATTTTTGAAAATCATGATAAATAAAATTAAATAAATAATTCTTTAAAAAAAAAAAAAAGTAAAAATGTTTATAGATTACAAAGGCAATAACTAACCTCATCTACTACAACCAGACCCAGGCTGCTAATCCTTTCATTTTCAATCAAGGAGTTCACCAGGCTATGTCCTTTTTCAATAGTGGCGATATATAGTGATTTCTTTTCCCTTCTTTTAATTGGAGGAAATCTTCCTTTGCTTCCAGCATATTCTTCAACAAAGAAACCAAGTTCTATACCAAAATTTGACAAACCTGAAATCTAGAATATAAACAAAGATAATAAATAAATAAGAATTTTAAGTGCTCTCAGGGATTTTTAAGAAAGTTAAAATAATGTTTAATAGCAATCAATGAGAATAAGGCAGTTAAGGCATACGTATTTAAACAATAGCATATAAAGTGTTGATTCTTGCGAAATAATGCAACTTTTAAACTATCTAATTGTGGGGCCAGCAGATAGTGTGGTGGTTAAGGTGCTGGACTCCCATACAGTTGTCAATGGTTTAAGTCCTGAACCTGATGGCTTGCTTTCTCATTTTCTCTCCTTCTCTCTCTCTGTTGAGTGCATGTGCCCTTTAGCAAATTTTTAAAAATAAAATTAAATAGATAATTAAAGAAATAAGCTAGATAAAAAATGTGAAAACAAATTTCAGTTATCTCCTTTGATGTCCAAAAGTACCAGAATAACTCAAAATAACTAGTTTCTGCATGAAAAAACAGGTTATACAGTCAGCAGATGGAGTAACGGTTACATTGCTGGACTCACATATAGTCGAACATGGGTTGAGTCCCAGACCCAGTGGCTTAAAACTCACACCTAGTGCGTGTGCCCAAAATCCCAAGGGAAGAATGGAGAAGGGTGGCCATTCTCCCATTTCTCTCTCTTTTTCTCTCTGGGGAGCACACACATCCTATAGCAAAAATCTGTCTCCCCAAAAAAGTAGGTTAAATAGAATATTTCAGATGGAGTTTACTAGCATAGGAAAAAAATAAAACTTTCTACAAGAGATCATTAAAACATGAAGAGATTTTTGGTAAGAACTTTATACCGCTTTTGTATATCCTAAAATATTAATTCTCTGTCACCAAGCAGAATTTCTTCTCAATTGATTAAGAGTCATTACATTTAGGGTAGTTTGAGATATTGATGTCAAAATGTTAGCAAATAATAACTTAAAACACACACACACACACCTTTTCTTGGACAATTGCCACATATGGAAGGATCATTAAAACATCTTTCCGTCGGCAAAGCAGCTCTTGTAGCATTAAGATTTCAGCCACGAGGGTTTTTCCACCACTTGTTGGCAAGGAATATATTAAATTTTTTCTTTCTTGCACAGAATTCAATGTTAAGCAAGTATGTTGCCATTCTGCCAAATTAAAAAAAAAAAATCATTATTCCCCCACCCATTCTCTCAATCTCAAGAAAGTCTTCTACAGAAAAATCAAATTCCCTTCCATATGGCAGTCTTCTCATATGGATAAATGCAATCACAATCTATGTCATATGTCAAAAATCCCAAATATGCAAGGTCCAACACACTAGCCATTGAGTCTCAGGCCTAGGGAGGAGGGTGGACTAGTTGCACCAGCTGCAGACTTAGCCAAGATTCCAGCAGGCACACAGCAGCCTATAGCTTGAGGGTCATCAGGGACATCAGAGGAGCAAAAGGACAGTCCCCGAACCTGTGTAAGTCCTAAGTTCTTCCTCTTATATTCTGCAAGGAGATGATGTAAGCTTCCCTTGCCCATTCACCCAATACCTAAATATTTTTAAATACTTCAGATTGGCATCATCCATTACTCATCAAGTTCCAGATGTTTATGCCAGAATATGACTTAACTGCATCTCTATTTTATTCAAATCAGGTTTTTAAAGTATAACATGTCCAGAATAACATTTAGGACTATCATTTATCTTTACACATTAAAGTAAATTACATCAACTTAGCTCTCAACACATATAAAGACATTAAGCACATTAGTTCTATGATAAAGGACAAACAGAATGAGGTTAGGGGTCTGTGGTTCACAAACATGGGTACATCAGACTTCCCTGAAGGCTTATTAAATAATCTTATTTACATAGACTGCCAGGGCTGGTAGGTGGTATGGTAGCTGAGGTGCTGGACTCCCACGTGGCCGACTGTGGTTCAATTCCTGGATGCGGTGGCTTGCTTTCTCACATTTCCTTTCTCTCTAGTCAGATTTTAAAATAACACTAACAAAATTAAATATTTTTTTTTAAAAAAAGGAGCTGGTCTCTTAACACACACACACACACACACACACACACAGACTGCCAGATCCTACCACAGAAGTTCTGATGCAGTGGGTCTGGGATGGGGCCTGAGAACATGCATGTGATGTCAATGCTGTATTCCAGCAACCTGCTTTCTTTAGCTTAGTGAAAAGTAGCACACAAGTTTATGTTTTAAGTTAGTCAAGTTATTAGCCAGATTTAAAAGTACAAAGAGATTTGCAAAGTTGTTACTTAAGTTCTTTCTTGGGAGTTACGGATTTAATTACTGAGTCATTACCGACAGTCATTACCAACATCTAATTTGTCCTCAGCAGAACACAACTTGCAGAATCCTTATCCTTATTTTTAACAGGTGAAGAATTAAAGCTCAGCACATTGAAGCTGTGTGTGAGTGATCAGGCTAGAATCCACAAGGAGACTGACAACCTCCAACAGAAGAGAACTTACCAGAGTATATCAGGCACAGTGCTAGTTATATTAAAAACAAAAAAGGGTGTGTTAGATAAAACCCTGTTTTCAGGATGTTCATTTGGCAGGAGATGCAGACTAAACAAAGAACAAGGTGCTAGAAGAAAAGCAGAGGAAAGAAAGTTAACATCTACTTCAAGGGTAATATACAATATTAGCTCTTAAACCATGAACCTAGGTTTGGAATTTATTACTCTTACAAAGTCTTGTATTAAATTTTGTTTCCTATAGTCCTACTTCTCTAATCACTTTTGTCTTCTCCCACTTTTTCCTTGTATTCAACAGTTCATAACATTCTAACCAGAGTTCCAGAAATACTTAGGAAGTTATGGGCTGATAGGCTGATCTTTCATTATATTGCAACGTCCCCTGTCTAAAATGACATAAATATGAAATAGTCATATGCCACAAAACGATGTTTTGATAACCACAGATCACCTATACTAAGGTGATCCCTACACCACGTAGCTTAGTGCAGAGTAGGCTATGCTATCTAGGTCTGTAGAGTGAACTCTGATGTTTGCAGGCTGACAGAATTACCTGACACGTCTCCCAGACTATCTCCTATGTTAAGCAATGTATGACTGTTTATGCAAAGACATAGGATTTTTAAAACATTATAAGATACATTGTTATTATTACCATTTATTTGCACTTAAATCTTAACTGCAGCTCTCTTTAAAGTTTAGTTTCACTAAATGATGTTACTAATACGGACTTCTTTTACTCAAGATACCTGAGTGTTCGAAGGAATTTCAACAACTACATTTTGGTAGAGAAAACAGAGCCAATCAAGGACATATCAGCTAAGAAAACTGAGGAACAACTAGACAATCAGAGAAAAAAGCATACAGTTGAGATCAAGAAATCAAAGAACAAGTTTTTAACAAGGGTGTGGTCAACGGTGTAAGGAGCAGCCTGAATCTGAGCAAACACAATGGTGACCTTTAAGCACATGCAGAAATGTGTATCTACAAGTAAGGGCAGTCCTTTGCAAGGCTAAATTAATGTTATTGACATATGACTATGGGGGCTGTCTCTGTGTTTGAAATTGCAAGGCAGTTAAAGGAAGCCATGTGGGTTAATCAGAAAAGGCCCAAGAAGATAAACTTACATAGAACTACATAGCACCAGATGTCTCCACATCTTGAGCCGGTTAGTATCCGAAAACAACTGACTTTGCATTTCACTTTCCCTTTCTCCCTTTTTTGCCCTTTAAAAGAATAAACCTGGGAATGGTTCAGGGTCGCCGCTGTCTCCATCAAAGAAGTTGAGATCACCTGATTCCTGCTTTTCTCTACTTGTGTATCTTTGTATGTTTATTTTTATGTTTATTCTCTAATCCACAACTGCCCCTACTCAGACCACACATTCAGCTGTGTGGGTCACGGCAAACAGCATCACAGAAGCTACTAAGAATTGGGTAGGGTAAGCACTACATGTACCCTTGGGGTTAGGCAGCCCAGTCATATCTTACACAAGAGCACAGAACCCGGAATTGGATTAGTGTGGGGAATTACCTGAATGGGGAAAAAGAGACAGCAAGGATAACCCGTCTGAGAAGTGTGCCTGTAAAATTAACAGGTTCAGTGGAACCAAATTAAGGATGAAAGGGTGAGAGACAGCATATACTTAGTTTTTAAAATGAGAAACGTGACTGTGTAATTACTTGCTTTTACTGGTTTGTACGACTATTATAACAATGAAAAAAATGTTTTGCATTCCAGCAAAAAAGCATTACCATATAATTTTTCAATTCCCTTGAACTGAACATAAAGGTCTCTCACTTTGCTGGGTAATGAATAAAAAGGACCACGATCATCTGATGACGACTCAATTGTCTTCTTAGCAACATTAATTTCTTCAGATAGGAGATTTTCTTTGAGCTGTTTACTCCTAGAAAAGACTGGTGTTTGTGCCTTGGCATTCCCAGTCATGGCACTTTTTAGATGATCTTTAACACTTTTTCTCCTATTCTTATCTGAGCTAATTTTGGCTTCAGAAGATAATTCATCATTTTCCTGGGGTTGTTCTATGCGATGATAGGGCAATTCCTCATTTACAGTCTTATGAGAGGTTGAGTTCTGATCCCTTTCTTTAGCAGACTGATCTCCGAAGGAGTTTAATGAGTTCTGCAAATTTTCAAAGTATAAAACTTGTGAAGAAGGTACATCATACAAAAGATCAGCTTCCTGTGCCACAGTGACATCTTCATGCCCACTCTGGTTCTCTGTGTGCTCATCAGTTTTCAATTCAATAAAGTCACCTACAGTAGTCATGCTGAGATTGTTTTTAATGCTTTTTGAACAAAGATCTTCAGTGGCAAAGTCTGTACTATGTTTCCCATGTTCAGGAAGTTGCATATATTTTTGTTCCAGGTCATCAACTTGAGCTAAAAAGGAGTTTTCAGCAAAACTATCATAGTCACCAAACATGTCCTCTTCACTGTCATTATGCTGAAAAGAAAACAAAAATACTTACTATCAACCCTAGTTTCATTAAGAACGTAAGGAGGCTGGAGAGTGCCACACTGGTAAAAACAAAACTCTGTGAGGTAGACCCATGTAAGAAGGTTACTGGCTCAAGTTTGGAAACCTGCCTACAGCAGGGACTACAATCTGAGACTGTCTGAGGCTGGGGGTGGGATGTCGTGTAAGGACCTTGTCAGGGGTGCTGTTTCTCTCTCTCACTCATGAAATAAACCTTTTTTTAAAGACAAAGAATAAAAGCTTCAGCCTGGTGCTATACAAAGTACTTGAGCAAATGGTCACAAATAAACCACAAATCTATAGGCAAATCACCCTATAAAATAAATATCATCACCATTTTACAGAGGAAGAAATGGGGACCAGCAGATGGCACAATGGTTATGTCCCTGGACTTTCACATAGTCAACTGCGGTTCCATTCCCAGACCTAGAAGCTTAAAAACTCACGCCGGGCACGTGTGCATGTGTGTCTCAAAAAAAAAAAAAAATCCCAAGAAGAGAATGAAGGAGAAGGGATTGTGGTGTGGTCATTTGCCAGGGGGTTGGGGGTGATTTCTCGCTTTCTGTATGGCTCTGTCTCTCTGGCAAGCACACATACCCTATAGCAAAAAACATCTCTTAAAAATAAAAAAGAAGAAATGGAGGCCCAGAGAAGTGACTTGCCACTACACTCCTGGAATGTTGTGCTCACAGTGGGATTCCATTAATAGTTCTTAAACCTGTGCTAAATCCTTAAAACAGTGACACAACCTGGTCATATTGATTGGGATAACGGCTCACAAGATGTTTCTGTTAACTACAGCACTCTCCCTGCTGACTCCAATCTACAGATACAGGCCTGTAACAAAATCATGGCTGTACCACAATACACTCCACATAGACTGTGTTCTTAGAATCTGGAGTTGAGACTATTCTACACAATGATTTGAGGTATTCTACTAAACAGAGGAGATATAAACTTGGAGTAGCAATAAAGTAATTAAAAAGGCAGGTTTGAGGGCCAGCCCCTAGCCTGGTGGTTAGGTTAAGTTATATCCCAAATGGCTGATTGCCTGGGTTAAGTCCCCACTCAGTGCCTTGAAAAACATGCTTCTGCATGTACCCAAAATCTAAAGAGAGGGAGAAATGGGAAAAGGATTGTGGTGTGACCATTCTCCACTGGGGAATGCTTCCACCCCCAGGTCCCCACCACCACTGCACATACTCTCTGGCAAATTAAATTAAACGGGAGTCAAGGGGCGGATCAAGCCAGAACTGTAGCTTTTACCAACTTCTCAGGGGCCTAATACTGTAAAATCTAGCTAACGTAACTAGTTCAACAATGTACTGGGCACAAAATGCACATAACGGATTTTCAGTACATAGATTTTACTAGCACAGTAAGGGCAGAAGTATTTCGAGGCCTAGGTCTGCATCTCTGTCATGCCTGGTATTTGCTGTGGGTGCAACTTTTGTTTCGAAGTCCCCGTCTCTACAGAAATGAGGCTAACAAGGCAATGTCCCTTAAGTGCCTCTTAACAGCTGGAGTAAAGACTACAGACGAAGGCTATTACCTAACTTGTCAAAGTGTTTGCGCCTGGGTAGGAAACTTTCACTATTCTGTAGTGTCAAGTTCCATGCCCCTCTACCCTTTCCGGCGGGCATGCGACGCTGCCGGGGTCAGGGTTTGCATCACCGCCCAAAGGCGGGATACTGGTCGGTGCACAGGGGGAAACTGGAGAGCTGACAGGGCTGTACCTCGACCGGCTGCACGTTTACGGTTTTCCGCCGCCGGCTCTCAGCCATTTCCTCCTCTTCCTCCTCATCTCCAGAACTGAGCGCAGCCGCGGTGGGGGCGGCAAAAATGCCCTCTAAGCTAGGACGGTTCCTTTTGCGAATAGACACCCGCCGGCGGATGCGGGAACCACCTTCATCCACGGCTGGGGCCGAGACCCCTGCCTGGACGTCGTCTCCCATAACCCAGCTGCCAAACCTAGGTGGAGGGGAGGATGGAGGGCAGGGCCGAGGTAGGAGGGCGGGGAGACTGTGCTCCCGCCTCCACCCACCTGGCAAAAGACCCTCAACTCAACTCCCAGGGCTCTTGCGCCGGAAGAAGAGGGACCAGCTTGGTGCCCGCCTCCTCCGCCAATCATTAGAGTCACGTGACTTGTGCTCGGAGGGCGAGAATGTGAGGGTGCTGCGCGGGCGCATTAACAACCCCACCTGCTCTTTCGCGGGTTTCTAGCATTAACGCACGGAACCATTGAATCGAGCACTCGGACCAACAACGGAAGGGTACCGGAAGGGACCGGAAGGGACAATTAGGAAAGAGGAAAGGAAAGGAGGAACGGGAGAGTGATGGCGGCTGTGGTCGCTCTTCGGAATGGTCTAGGGAGGAAAAAGTTGACACACTTGGCAACGGCTGCTGTCTGCGTTAAAGGTCCCGGCACTCACGAGGGTAAAGTCTTCATATCCTGTCCTCCGTTGTCGCACCACGACCATAGCCTTTTAGCCTTCATAGTCGGTGGAGGCGTCACTTAGCAAAAGGACGCTGGTTTCCAGGCGGTTAAGTTTCTCTAAGATAGGTGGGAATCCGTAATAGCCCATGACTAGTATTTTAGAGCTGAAGAGGATGTGAGATGTTGGCCAGTCCACTTCTTTCACATTTTTAAACACGAGGAAAATGATGGAGTAACCCTCACAACGAGGCAGGGATTTGCCTGCGATGGCCAGGTAAACTTGGTGAGGAATGGACATTTCCAGAGTCAGTAAAATTTCCAGCAGCAAATTCCAGATATCTGAGATTCTGGATCAGAGAGAAATTGTGACATAAGCCCTCAAATTTATAATTTCTGCAATTTTATCTATCAGCATCTCACTGGAGACCGTCTGTTACTCATTTTCCTTATGGGATGACAGATGCTTTCACTTGCTTCTGTTTTAGAGAGAAAATTAGTAAGAGAGCAGATGAGAGGCGGTATGGGCGGGGAAATACTGTATATACCCTCTTCCTCTTAGGAAGCGTGGTCGTTTAAAATCTTGTTACTCCATATTCAAAGGAAAGGCTTTTAACCAGCCATTGTGAGTATAATGAATATACGACCTTTCTTTTCTGTGTGTCCCTTGATTCATCTTGCCTCAATAAAAACAAAAATATTTCTTTAGCTACTTAGGTAACAGCAAAGAATTGACTTATTGCTATTTCTGTTTAATTGTAGTGCTGTGGAGAAGAGGTTGTTCACAATATAGACAGGAAACCAGCAATGAAGACCTGGTAAGTATTTTCTTGTCCTATTAGTAAGGCATCTGTAAATTTGACCAAATTCTTGTATTTTAGCAAGTTAAAGTTCATCTGTAGGACAAAACAATAAAGATAATCATTCAGTTTGGAATCTATAACTCATTGATTATAGTCACTTGAGTGAAGTAGAAGAATTCCTAGATTCTGAGCAAGAAGTATGGCTTCTGTAACACCATAATGTTCTTCCTAGTTCTTAAAAGTATGTGTACTTTGAGAATGTAAAAAGGTAGTTTCGGTGGAAGAATAATTGTAGACAGTTGAACAAAGGGATTGTACAAAGCTTAGCTGTAGGTTGGCTCTCTTTCCCATTTCAAAAAAAAAATTTACGACTTTCATCAGTTTTGGGGTAGGGGACTGACTTAACAAATGAGAGATTAAAATTAAAGTTTTACACCAGGACAGTGTTAAACAGTTTCCTCTAACCTATATTTTTATGGATGAGCATAGACTGGGGCATCATAGATTTTCTTACCACATGCAAAAATAATGTTTGACATTAATCAGACCATAAAAAGTACTCAGCACAGTGTTGAAAAGGAAATAATCATTACATGTGAACTGAATGTAAATTGGATTGAGAAAGTTTGAGGAATCAGAAGAAACAGAAGAACTCATCTACTCCAAATATCCCTTTTTAATTATCTTATTCATACATAGTAGTTTAAGAGCATAAAGGAAGTTTACTTCTTTTTTAGGTCATATATTCCACTGAAACTCTAATGAAAACTGTGAATCTTCTCCACAGAAAAAAAACACATACTCCATTTGTTTGAAATTTTGCAGCTATAGGGAGTCATGGACCTAAACCATTTCTAGATTAAGAACCTCTAGGGCCAACAGGTGGTGTGATGGTTAAAGTGCTGGATCTCACACAGCCAGCTCTGTGGTTTGAGTCCCGGACCTGGCGACTTGCAGCTCACACCAGGCACCTGTCTCTGCATGCCCAAAATCCCGGAGGAGAATGGAGGAGAAAGGATTGTGGCATGGCCATCCGCCTTTGCAGAGTGGTTTCTCACTTTTCCTCTTTTTCTATCACTCCCTCTCTCTCTGGAGAGTGCAAGTACTTTATAGCAGAAGCCTTAAAAACAAAAACAAAACACAGGACTTCTATACTAAAGACAACCACACCGACAGTAGGAGGGCAGCATTGTGACAAAGCATGAAAGGCAGTAATGAAGACAGAAAAGTCAAAGACTGACACGAACTCAATACGCCATCTGCTGGTCCCCAAAAGTTTATTTTTTAAACTGAAAATTAACATGTTCTGTTATCAGACTTTTCTTCCTTTATTCTAGCCTGTTCCAATGGAAAATCCATATAAGGAGCCTCTTAAAAAATGTGTCTTGTGCGAGAAACGTGTAGATTATAAGAATGTACAGGTGAGATTTGGATTTACTTCACTATACTTGATTTTAGAATTTAGCTCCTTGGTTAGTCTTATTTAAAGATAATCAGATCAGTTTTATAGCAAGTTTTGTGTAGAGGCAACTTTCAGCAACTTCATAATTTAAAATCTGGTTATAATTCTGAGTATAATATATCAAATAAGAGCCTCCTGGCTCTCCTTCATTTACTGTATTTTATTCTGCAAATGAAAAGTGGCAAATTTTGGGGGAGTGGATGGTATTGGGGTTAAGTATTTTATACTGTCCACAGTATAATGTGATTGCTGTATTTGAGGAAGAAAAACAAGAAGTTGTGAAAACACATTGTAGCAAGAAGATTGTGCAAAGTGGCAAGAATAATACCTGGCACCTAGAAAATGCTGAAGAAGTATTTACATAAATAAAATGACCCAATTCACTAAGACCTCTTGAAGACCTCAGTAGAATATGTGATGGCCTATCATGATAGGTGTTTTAGTACCTTTTTATATATAAGCAGCAGTATTTTATAAAGATCTCTGTAAAAAAGAAAGCAGCTTTAGCGCAAAAGATAATGATTAATCTGCTATTAGCTGTACAGACTGACACTCAGGGTAGATGTTAATTTTAGATATTATTTTAAAAGATAACTTGCCATGAGGATGAGCTAATTTTTTTTTCTCATATTAAATTTGTCTGAAATTTACTAAACCTTCACAAGACTTGAATGTATGTGTAATGTTTGGTTTTTGAAATTTACACATTCAAGGTTGAATAACAAATGTATTAATGCGCTTTTTTTTTTTTCCTCCAAATAAAACTCAAAAACAGCTTTTGTCCCAGTTTATTTCTCCATTTACTGGATGCATTTATGGAAGGCACATAACAGGTATTTTGTTTTTTTATTGTAGCAGTTTAAATGTAGATAAGAATGATACCAGTTTTCTTCTGTTTCAAGAATACTGGTTAGCCCAGCTGCTGTGGTGCAACAGTAATGCAGGAAGCTGTTACTGTGGCAGTGGGATCAGATCCCTGGGCAGGCTCACATCACAGGGGCATCTAGCTGGAGGGGAGGCAAAGGGGATTGCTGTGTGATTCTGTCAAGGATGCTTCTCTCTCTTATACACACATGTGTGCGCATGCTATCAAAAAGAAAGAAAACTGGCAAGTTTTCAGTGTGCTATAGATCACTATTGGATCAGATACTACAGGCACTGGATTTAGGTAAGAAAGCTTCTTCTCAGGCCAGATGATTATCATGTTTTATCCTCAGTTAACTGCAGACTGAAATAGAAAACTATTTGAGATTTAAAAAAAAATTGTGGTCTTGTGACCAGCAGATGGCGTAATAGCTATGTTGCTGGACTCCCAGGTAGTCCACCATGGTTCGCGTCCTGGACCTGGTGGCTTAAACACACGCCACACATGTGTGCGTGCGTGCTCCAGATCCCAAGAGGAGAATGGAGAAGAGATTGTGGTGTGGCCATCCCCCTAGGGGGTGATTTCTCACTTTCTGTCTCTCCTTCTCTTTCTGGCAAGCGCATGCGCCCTAAAGCAAACGTCTCTCCAAAAAAAAAAAAAAAATTGTGGTCTTGATGTTTTGAATATATATAATCATTCCTAGACTAATATTTGAACTAGCCATTGACAAACCATGGCTCACAGTTCAAATCCAACCTATGCCACATGGTTAGTTTTGAATTTTAACAGCAGAGTTGAGTAATTATGATAAGCCTGTATAGCCTACAAACCCTAAAATGTTTGCTGTTCTGGTCCTTTACAGAAAAAAATGTATCAGGCCTTGACTTAGAAAATTATTATGAATTTTAAATTACTCATTTTTTATGAATAAGAAAGGAAAATTTTATTTTATAGGTCTTTGTGGGAAGAAACAGAAAGAAGTCTCAAAAGCAATTAAGAGAGCTCAAATAATGGGTAAGAGCACTTGAATAATTGAATTGGGCTATTCAAAATTTTTCTCATTATCTTTTGCATACAACTTTAATTATCTCTTTACAGGGTTTATGTCAGTTACGTACAAGGATCCTGCATATCGCAAAGACCCTAAAGTTTGTAACATCAAATATCGGGAATAAATTACATAAGGTTATTATCAATAAATGTATTTTACAATGTGGTTGTATAATGCTGTTACTACTTAAGAAGAGCCTTTGGGTAGAAGAGTGATTCAGAAATGATGCTTCCTTTCCAAATGTTCACTAAATAGATAGGTTATTTAAAATGTATTATATTTTGTTATAGCAAAGTGGTAGAATTTGAATTAAAAAGTGTGATGGTCACTAATATCTGGTCCCCAAATAGCTCATATGTAAGGGACCACTAATACTAGGATACTAAACATGGGAAGGATGGCTTGTATTGGAGTTCTGCTTTAGTTCCAGATCCTGTCTTTTTTTTAAGGTATTTATTTTATTATTATTTTAATTTGCTATCAGGCATGTGCACTCACAAGAGAAAGTGATGAAGCAAGCCTCTAGGTCCAGGACTTGAACCACCTTAGGCCATGTGGGATAATAGCACCTTAATCTCCATGCCATCTGCTGGGCCAAGTCCAGATCCTGTCTTACAGATGGGATGATTTGGGGTAAAGAGGTATAGGAAACTGAAATGCTTGTATGAAGGAATTTTTAAAAGTTCACAAAAAAGTGGAACTAAAGTATGAGTTTTATTTTGGTTCAAAATTTTTGAAATCTAAGCATAGGTTTTGCTTAATATGTATTTCCCATTAATTTCTTGACAACCTTGCATATCACATTTGAAACTCATGTCTGGTTGTGGAGTTGAAATTGCTCATAATAATTGTCTAACTAGCAAATATAGATATGTGTGGTGGGTCTTGGGCCAGTCAGTGGTGTAGTGGTGAAGGGTGCTGGATCTCACATGGCTGACTGCTGGCTCAAGTCTCAAACCTAGGAGCTTGGAAAACATCCTGGGTTCGTTTGCATGCTTGCATTCATGCATTGCCCAAAATCCCTATAAGAGGATGGAGAAGGGATTGTAGCATGGTTATCTCGCCTGAGGGGTGCTTTCTTTCTTTCTCAGGTGAGCACACGTACCCAATAGCAAAAACTGAGGGGGGTGGGAATGTGGGTCTTCACTTTGTAGAAATGTTACATTAGGATGGATAGTGGTGCTGTCATAGGAGATAAAACATTTATTCCTAGACAACTCCATCATCAAACTGGTAGTAGCCTTTACTTGAAGGGATGATTCATATTGGGTTATTGGAAAGATCATGATGTATTTTTTGTTTTTCTATGCAAAAATGCTTTATGACTTTTCTGATCCAATACATAGTCTATTGGTATAAATTGTCATTTTCTGTCTCCCAGTGATACAAGCAGCAGGGCTCAAACAGATAACCCTGGTTCTTTTCTATTATATAGTACCAGCTGCTTATGTAACCAGCAAAGCACAAGCCTAGCAGTAGAAGCTTGTGATTTGCACAGAGCACCCTTTGTATATGGGGTTTCAAAAATACCCCATGGTTATTAAGGCACGCTAACGATAAAACTTTGTTACTAAATAAAATTTTCTGTATTAAGTGGAAGTAACACATGGTCAAAGTGTATGTTTAGCATTTTAACTAGTTGGTGAGACATGGTGAGAGCTTCATGTGATGTGTAGTTCATGGAAAGTTAAGTAGAAAAGGTGTATCAGGGCTTGCCCACTGGCTGTGTGGTCAGTAGAGCTGGATCCCACATGGCAGGTGGCTTGGGAAACATACCAGTGCATACATGAATGTGCTCAGTCTTGGAAGGATGGAAAAATAGAGAAGTTATTACGGTGTGAATGTACTTCACTGGGGGTTTGCTTTCTTTATCTGTCCCTCTGGCAAAAATTAAAAAACAAACCTATCACATCAGTACATACAGAAGCTTTCTTTGCCAACTTCTACTTATTCAGCTCACTGGATTAAACAGGTTCTGGGTCTTCCCTAAAACATACTAGAGGCCTTGATTTTCTTGTTAAAATTTGCTTTTGTAATCAGCTGTTTTGTTTCCAGATCTGTTAGTAGTGTCACTGTATTGATGTAGTGAAAAGTTAATGATGTAAAGAAAAGTTATTGCTATGAAAATTAAGTGCATGCTTTGGCAAGACTTAACTTTTTTTCCTTTTTTAAAGACAGATTTTTGCGGGCCAGCAAGTGGTGTGGTGGTTAAGGTGCTGGAGTTCCCACATGGCCGACCACGGTTCCAGTCCCAGACCTGGTGGCTTCTGTCTCTCTCTCTGGCAAAACTCATGTGAAAATAATAACAAATAAAGTTAAATAAATTAAAAAAAAATGCTTTAAAGACAGATTTTTGCTATACGGTACATGTACTCATCAGAGAGAAAGTGAGAAATCACCCCCCAGGGGAAGAGGGACAGCTGTGGGGCAATCCCTTCTCCCATGATCTGGGCCCACTTGTACGTATATGCATTTCTGGAGTGAGTTTTGAGCTGCCAGGTCCAGGACTTAACCATTATGCCATCTGTTGGTCCTGATAATTCTCTTTTTTTTTTTTTTTTTTTTTTTGAAAGATTTCTGTTATAGGGCATGTGTGTGTGCTCACTGGAGACAGAGAAAGCAGGAAATCACCCCACACACACACCCGGGGGATATGGCCATGCTGCAGTCCCTTTTCCTCCATTCTCCTGTCGGGATCTTGAGCACGCACATATATGTGCCTGGCATGAGTTTTGAGTTACTGGGTCCAGGACTCAAACCATGGTCAACTACGTGGCAGTCCAGCAAAGTAACCATTACGCGATCTGCTGGTCCCAGTGATAATTAACTCTTAAAATAGCTGTCAAATTAGGTGTAGCTAGGACAACTGAAATACGGGTGGAAGGGTACAGTGAAATGGAAAACCCTAGTTGAATTTTGTACATAGGCTGCTTTGCAAATTTGTGTAAATTCTTCACAGAAACCAAAACCAGGACGAGTAAAGGTTAAGCAGCAACAGTGATTTACATAGGAAGCCCAATCACTAGACTTCATACAATACAGAAAAGTCCCTGGCCCCCCACCAAATGGTGAGTGAATATATACTTTTCCTTTATATTAAAATGAAAGTGGGCCTGTTGGTAAAAGGAGTCAGAACCCACATGGCCAACCAGCTGTTCAAATTCTTGCTCTGGTGGCTTGAAAAACACACCAGGTGTGCGTATGTGCATGCTCAAAATCCCAACAGGATGGAGAAATGAAGAAGGGACTGTTACATAACCCTCACTCCCCCCCTTCACCCTTGGGGGAGCTCTTCACTCTCCCTCTCTCTGGTGAGTGTACATACTCTGGCAAATTAAAAAAGAAAACAAAAGCTTTATAATAGACATGCCCATGTATGTATATGTCCTTGTATCATTTCTGAGTCCCAATTTAACTTGCTTTTCGGTTCCTTGATCACCTGCGAATTCCAAACACTGAATGACCTTTGGATTCAGTAGATTTTGTGTAGAGGACTCTAGGGAGAGATTAGTGTTTGTGCTGTGTTACAGTTGTGCTCTAATTATGGCTGCCGAATTTAGCAAATAAATATACAGAATACTCAATTAAATTTGAGTCCCAGATAAACAGTTTTTTTGGTGTAACTATACCCCAAATATTGCATGATACTCAGCATTTTATCTGGCAACTTGAGCCATAATCTACTTTTTATTATTTTGAATAAGATTCTTAATGACTTAGAGATAGAAATAAATTTTTATATAAACTTTTAGATGTATTTCCACATTGTGAAATAAGACTTATCCTTCTTTCCCAATTCTAAAGAATTTGTGCAAGTTTACATGAATGTATTTAAGCTTTTCCTTGACAACTTAGTGAAAGAAAGGTTTCTATTTTAAAATAAAGGCATCTGATATTTTAAAAAGTCTTTTATAAAATAAACACCTGAGGGCCCAGCCACACTGGCACAACTAGGAGGGTGCTGTTGCACCATGGTCATGTGGCCCAGGTTCCATTCCTGACCCCACCTAATCAAGCTAGGTTCAGTGGTGCCTGCCTGTGATCCCATCTGCCTGGGAGTCTTGGGTAGGAGAGTCAAGACATAGCAAGACCTAGCCAAAATATTCCCACCCCGCCTCCATTGCTGTCTTGCTTACATAAAAATAAATAAATGTTTTAGGATTTACTCAGGTATTACTGCAAACAGGTAAACATAGTAAAAAAATTTAAAAAGACCTTATCTGTGTATTGCTAAGAATACCTGGGGGCCGCCGGTAGGTGGCCTGGTGGTTAAAGGTGCTGGGCTTCCACATGGCTGACTGCGGTGTGAGTCCCGGACCTGGTGGCTCGCTCACTCTCTGGTTAAAATTGAAAGATGGTGATAAAATAATTTTTTTTTCAAGAATTATTTACTTATTTTAATTTGACCAGAAAGAGAGAGAGGGGGAGGGAAAGTGAAAAGGCAAGCCGCCAGGTCTGGGACTCAAAACGTGGTCAGCCATGTGGGAGTCCAACGCCCTTAACCACCATGCTACCTGCTAGTCCCCAAAAATATTTCCTTATGGGAAAAGAAAAAAAACCCCTGAATACAGTAAAAATGAATTTACATATTATATGAAGCTAAACACAGTTAAAATTATACAATCATTTGGCTTTACCCTACAGCCAGATCAAAAATGTACTTTTGGGCTAAGAGGATCAAAATGTAGGGGACTGTGGATATTCTCCAGAGCTCTTCATTTTCTCGATGTCTTCGTCTGTTTCCGGGCTGCTCAGCGTGGATGATTTTTCTTGGTAACTGCTGTCACTGTCTGTCGAAGATGGTTTGTTCTGTATCTCTAACAGCCGTGACTTCTTTAACTGCCCTCTGTCACCTGCATCTGTAGCTTTACGCTTAGTTATCTGTGGTGTAGTAGTTTGACTAGCTTCAGGAATGTTGGCGTATTCTACCATTAAAGTCAACTTGTCTACCCCATCAAGATGGTGGCTAGTGTTACAGCTACTTTTAGAAATATGCCTGTTTTTCAAAGAAATAACACATGAACGCAGAAATTCACAATCTGGAAAAAAGGTACGTAAAGCTTGACAGAGGAAAATGTTTTCCTGAGTGTCTTCTTGGACATTCTTCTCTCCTAAACAAAATAAAGTAGCAGTTCATCTTAATTGCATTTGCTCCACAAATCTTTTATAAATAGCTATTTGTTAGTAAAGCTAAGTCAAGAACTGTATCACGTCTACAGTGAGAACAATGACATGCTTAATCCAAAATTCTAATTTAAATGCCATAATATTCTAAAAAGAAAGGTGATTTTAATACTAAATTATTTAAGTTTAGGGACCAGCAGTTGGCGTAATGGCTATGTCGCTAGACTCCCATGTAGTTGACTGTGGTTCGAGTCCTGGACCTGGACATGTGTGTGTGTGTGTGTGCCCAAGAGCCCAAGAGGAGAATGGAGGAGAAGGAATTACAACGTGACCATCCCCCCTGGAGGGTGATTTCTTGCTTTCTGTCTCTCTGCCTGTCTTTCTGGTGAGCACACGAACCCTAGAACAAAAAAAAACCTCTCCAAAAAGAATTTAAGTTTAAAAAAATATTTACTAATTTTATTGCCAGAGGGCACTTGTATTCAGTTCACTCCAGGAGGGTGAGGGAGGAAAGGCTATGAGGATAGGGAGAGAAAGGGAGAGAGAGACCGAGAGAAAGAGAAAGTACCCCCAATGGGGTGTGGTATGCTGCAATCCTTTCTCCTCCATTTTCCAAACCCATCAGGGAAATGCACCCTTACACATAGCATAATTTTCAAGTTGCTGGATCTGGGACTAGAACAAGGTCGGCCATGTAGAATCTGGCTACCTTAACTACCAGGCTATGGAACTATCTGTTAAATTCTTTAACATCAACAGTATTGCAAAGCAGGCTAGCCTAGTGGGTAAGGAAGATGGAGCCCATATTGTCAGCTGTAGTTAAGAGTTCTGGCCCTGGTGGCTTGGAAAGCACATGGCTGTCTGTAGGGTTCAAGTTCTGGACATAAGAGGCTTGAAAAACATGCTGGGGGCCTGTGTGTAAATGCCCAAAATCCTGAGAGGAGAATGGAGGAGAAGGGATTACAGTGTGGCCATCCCCCCCTGGGGGTGATTTCTTTCCTTCTCTCTCTCTGGCAAGCACACACACCCTATAGCAAAAACAAAACAAAAACAAGAGTGCTTCAAAAAGTTTTCAGAAAAATGGGAATAAAGTATGAGTTTATCTTGGCATAAAAATTGGGGGCGGGACCAGCAGTTAGTATAATGGCTATGTCGCTGGACTCCCACGGTTCGAGTCCCAGACCCGGCGGCTTAAACTCAAGCCAGGCCGCGTGTGCATGCGTGCCCAAGATCCCGAGAGGAGAATGGAGGAGAAGGGATTGCGGCATGGCCATCCCCCCTGGGGGGCGATTTCTCGCTTTGTCTCTCTCTGTCTTTCTGGGGAGCGCACGAGCCCTGTAGCAAAAACCTCTCAAAAAAAAAAAATTGTGTGTGTGTGGGGGGTACGGCAGCAAGTGGGGTGGTGGTTAAGGCAACTGGACTCCCATATAGCTGACCGTGGTTTGAGTCCTGGATCTGGCAGCTTGCTTTCTCACTTTCCTTCTCTCTCTCTCTCTCTCTGGTCAACTTTTAAAAAATAAAATAATGACAATAAATAAAAGTAAATCTTTGAAAAAATATTTTGTTGAGGTGGAGTGGTGGTTAAGGTGCTGGACTTCCACATGACCAACCATGGTTCATTCAAGTCTCATAAAATAAATAGACTTAAAAAGAAATTTTTTTAATTATTATTTTAATAACATACATTTTTCGTAGACCTTTTTGAGGAAGGGCCCTTTGTATGGTGTCATGTCCTTTGTTCATGAGGATTTAAAAGTATTACTAAAACAACTAGTTTTAATCCCAGGGGGGACAAATTCATCTGATAATGCAGTTGGCCCAGCTGTAATTTAAATCAGTGAGAATGCTTTAAAAATCACAGAAAGTAGCAATGTTTTAAATTTTTACTTACGTGTCACTTGAATCTGTGCTTGTTTCCTTTTTTTAATTTCTTCTTTTAATCTGTTTACATCCTTTAGTAATTTCTCTACTGCTCGCTCACTGTGTTCCACTTTTTTGCATATACTCTGCAAAATAAAAATCAGGTAAAATTCTGATTCCTGTATTAATAGAATCTAGACTCAAATAATTTAAAATCCTTGATGATGTAGATATCAAATACTAGCTACCTTTTATGTAATTACTGATTTTGCTACTTTCTGGAGGATCTACCTAACAAGCACTTGCATGGTGCTTTATAGATTACAAAACGCTTTTCAGACACATTAACATCTCATTTATATATATTTTTATCACACCACTCATTTCCTTAATACACAGAAATAAACTGAAGTATTTAACTCATTCAAAACAAAAATACTGAGAGATGCATAATTACTGCACACATAGAACATTAAGAAACTGGTAACGAGCTGCATAGTGGCACAACAGTACACCACCACTCTGGGAAGGTTCCGAGTCAATATCCTGAATCTGCCTGGCACATCCCATGATCCAGGGCTGAGTGAAGCTGGGATGGATTGAGGCCAGGTGGTGTGTAGTGATTATTCCACTGGACCTGCATAAGAAATGCAAACTGGGGCCAGCAGACAGTGTAATAGTTACGACGCCGGTTATGGTCAACCATGTTTCGAGTCCCAGACCCGGTGGCTTCAAACTCATGCTGGGAATGTGTGCATGTGTGCTCAGAATCCCAAGAGGAGACTGAAACAGAAGGAACTGTGGTGTGACAATCCCCCTCGGGGGGTGATTTTTCGCTTTCTGTCTCTGGTGAGTGTACATGCCCTATAGCAAGAAAAAGAAGAATGCAAACCCAAGACCTCCATGCACACACACAAGCATGCATGTCTATGAATTGGGATGACAGAGATGGGGTGGACTGTAGCAAACCTGTTGGGGATGCCTCTACCTTTGTCTCATGAAATTAAATAAAGTTTATAAAAAAGTGGGAGAGAAGCAGACTGTTCCTATGTGTTATCAGTTTTACAAGTAATACCAATAATCTTTGACCCAATAATTCCATTTTGGGAATCTTAACAAAATTTATGTAAGAATATATGCCTTGGGATTAGCAGGTGGCATGGTGGTTAAGGGCACTGGACTCTCACATGGCCGAATTCGGTTCAAGTCCCAGACCTGGTGGATTCCATGCGTGCGTGCGCTCTCTCTCTCACGCTATCACTCTGGACAAATTTAAATAAATAAATGGATAAATAAAGTTAAATAAAATAATTCTTTAAAAGTTAAGAATATATGCCTTAGTAGAATATCAAATATCAAATCAAACATGTCCTTTCTAATTACAGGGCAATAGTAGTTATAGTAAAAAAATTTTTTTGAAAGAGCTTTGCTATCAAGCATGTGCATTCACACCCAGAAGGAAAGTATGAAATCACTCCCCAGGGAGGATGGCAATGCTGCAATCCCTTCTCCTCCATTCTCCTCTTGGGATTTAGGGCACATATGCATGTGTACCTGGTGTGAGTTTCAAGCCACTGGGTCTGGGACTTGAACCGTGTTTGGCCATATAGGAGTCCGGCACCTTAACCACTATGTACCTGCTGGCTCCAGTTATAGCCAGTTTTAGTGAATATTTTGTAAGATGTCTGTCCAGCCTACTTTTCATGAACTTGTTCACCTTGACATAAGTTTGCCAGTAACCCCAGCACCCACTTTCCCTCTAACCAACTCCAGCAGAACCACAGAAGCGGTGGATTAGCAGTTCTCTGGTTTGCCAGTGGCTGAAGAAACAGATCTGGACATGAGGAAAGCACAAAGAGAGAGTTCTGACAGCATCCCAGCTCCTTCCTAAGTTCTGCTGTGTTCTCCCTGTGGTTCCCATGATGGACCTCCACTTCCCTATTTTAGCCCAAGTTGGTCTTTTCAACATTAGAGTTCTAAGATACTGTTTTGTGAAATGCACTGCCATTAAAAATAACTAAGGAATATGTGACAAAGAATGTGTCTAACAATATGTGTCACATAAAGCCACTTATGTCACTATGATTCAATTCTATTTACAGGGTCAGTCCCATAGGGCAGTGGTTAGGTGCAATGCATCAGGAGCAAATACCTCTGGTCTCCAACTCTTTTTGCCCCGGTATGGAAAATGTAAGATCCTTCCTCCTCTGCTAGGGCCAACGCTTCAACCCTGACCATGTTCAAATCTTGGGCCTGGCAGCCTGAAAACACCTTGGGTGAATGTGTTTGTGTGTGCCCAAAATTCTGATAGGATAACCTGAGGGAAAAGGATTGTGGCAAGACCATATCCCACTGAAGACTGTTTTCTCTGGTGAAGGCACATACCCGCTAGTAGTTAAAAAACTTTTTTTGGAAAAGGGATGTATACATTAGGAAAAAACTGGAGAATATGGCAAAATAAAAAGTTATGTTTAAATGGTAAGTTCTTCAGTTTCTATTTTCTAAAATTCTTGTATTATTATTCATATTAAAATAATGTATATTAGTAGTGTGTAATAATTAACCCTTTTTCTTTATTCATGATAGAATATGTGAGAGCATGGTGGGGGCGGGGGGAGAGAAAAGTACCTTTCACAGGATTTGGTCTTACAATGAGTAATCCCTTTCCTCCAGTTCTCCAGCCGATCAGATCTTAAATACTAGCACGTGTACTGACATGTTTTAGGGCCACCAAACCAAGAATTTGAAACCTGGCAAAGTGAGATCTGGCTTCTCTTTAGCAGTACACCCCCTCTATACCACAGAGTCTGCCCCAGCCCCCTTCCTTCTAGTGTTGAGGATGGTGTGCATGGAGGTACATGCCTCAGATCTGGTGGATGAATAGCTGACTGACAGACCCAGCCAGGGATCCATCGTGGTTTGCTGTTTTGTTGTTGTTGTTAATAATATTAGTCACGGGGACCAGCAGTTAGCGTAACGGCTATGTCGCTGGGCTCCCATGTAGTTGACCGTGGTTTGCGTCCCGGACCCGGTGGCTTAAGACTCACGCCGGGTGTGTGTGCGTGTGTGCCCAAAATCCCGAGAGGAGAATAGATTGTGGCGTGACCATCCCCCCTGGGGGGTGATTTCTCACTTTCTGCCTCTATGTTTCTCTCTCTGTCTGGTGAGCGCAGGCGGGGGGAGAGAAAAGTACCTTTCACAGGATTTGGTCTTACAATGAGTAATCCCTTTCCTCCAGTTCTCCAGCCGATCAGATCTTAAATACTAGCACGTGTACTGACATGTTTTAGGGCCACCAAACCAAGAATTTGAAACCTGGCAAAGTGAGATCTGGCTTCTCTTTAGCAGTACACCCCCTCTATACCACAGAGTCTGCCCCAGCCCCCTTCCTTCTAGTGTTGAGGATGGTGTGCATGGAGGTACATGCCTCAGATCTGGTGGATGAATAGTTGACTGACAGACCCAGCCAGGGATCCATCGTGGTTTGCTGTTTTGTTGTTGTTGTTAATAATATTAGTCACGGGGACCAGCAGTTAGCGTAACGGCTATGTCGCTGGGCTCCCATGTAGTTGACCGTGGTTTGCGTCCTGGACCCGGTGGCTTAAGACTCACGCCGGGTGTGTGTGCGTGTGTGCCCAAAATCCCGAGAGGAGAATAGATTGTGGCGTGACCATCCCCCCTGGGGGGTGATTTCTCACTTTCTGCCTCTATGTTTCTCTCTCTGTCTGGTGAGCGCATGCGCCCTATAGCGAAAACCCCTCCAAAAAATAATAGTAATTATTAGTCACAATACAGTAGGCATGCATGCAAACAAGCATCTGTGACAAGGTCTCACCATGCCACGATCCTCTTCTCCTAGCCCTTGAGCTTATCAGAACTCTGGGATACATCTGCACTTGGCTGTGCAGCGACCAGCACTGCTGTTCAGTACATCACCAAGCGGGCCACCAAGGCTGGGCCAGAGCTGGCTCCACCACTGCTTACCTGAAGCCTTGCTTCCCCTGGGCTGTTACTAGCCAATGACTGAGCAATGGGATTGGTGTCCATGCTCAGACTCATCAGCCTAGCTTTTAGAATGGCACTGCAGTCTGATGCTCTTCCTAAACAATGGTCTTCCTAGCCCTCTCTCTTTTCTCAGGGATCTGACTTGCACTACAAGCTGAAGGCTCTTTTCTGCCTACCCTTGTCCCCTTCTCCTTTATTACCTTTTGCAGGCCCAATTAATTTCTTAGACTTTATTTCCTGTGTGTGTGGGGCAGTTCTAGACAGGGTCTTACCATGTAGTGATTGTCATGTCTCAGTCTCCTGAACACCTGGGATTACAAGTGTATGCCACTTCACACTACTTGCTTTTTTTTTTTTTTTTGGAGAGGTTTTTGCTATAGGGCGTGTGAACTCACCAGACAGAGAGACAGAAAGTGAGAAATCACCCCCCAGGGGAGATGGCCACGCCGCAATCCCTTCTCCATTCTCCTCTCGGGATCTGGGGCATGCACGCACATGCGCCCGACATGAGTTTTAAGCCACCGGGTCCGGGACGTGAACTGCGGTCGACTACGTGGGAGTCCAGCGACATAGCCATTACACTAACTGCTGGTCCCCACAGGACCAGTTTGAGGAATCAAACCTAGATCTCCCACGTGACTTTAGCAGCAGGATCCATCCCAGTGCTACACTCTGGCTGGCCCAAGAGCTCCTGTCTCATTTTTGTCTACTTCTAAGCGCTAAGAACATTACACTGTGGTAGTTGTATTGCTCCCAAGTATTTGCTTCCCTCTTTTTTTTTAAGAGGCTTTTGCCTTAGGGTGTGAGAACTCACCTCAGAGAGAGTGAGAGGGAAAGTGAGAAATCACCACCCAGGAGAATGGCCACACTGAAATCCCTTCTCCTCCATTCTTCTCCCGGGATCTTAGACACGCATGCACATGCACCCAGTGTAATTTTCAAGTCTCCAGGTCTGGGACTCGAACCACAACAGTTGGCCATGTGGGAGTCCAACAATGTAAGTACTAAGTCTTCTGCTGGCCCCTTTTCTTCTCTCTTTATCCTATATAAAGATTATAAATCCCTATTGCCACTTAATGTACTCTGGTAGGCGAAATGTGAATGGATGTGACATGGAAGTTTTGACTGTAGTTTTAAGAACTATTGTACATTTCTACCAGCTTCATTACTCTTTTCCTTCTGCCATGACAAAAATAGTCCCCAAAGTACGGGCTGCTCTTCCAGCCTGAATCCTGAAATGAATGTGACACTGGGAAGAGAAGCAGAGCTCTGGTCAAGATATAATGTGAGGGAAAAAAAAAAAAAAAGATATAATGTGAGCAGGACTAAACTGTTGTTGTAAACCACCGATTCAGTCCTTGTTACTGAAGCTAAAGGAATACCATGTAAATTATCCTTAAACAATTTCACAGTGATCAAGTTTATATGAACTCTAGAACTGGTCTTTATGATTTTGATATTTTACTTTACCTTTAACTCCTCTTGTAATGAAGTATACATTTCATTTATCTTATGTACCTCCTTTAAAGAACCATCTTCTTTAAAAAATTCAGAGCTGTAAAAAAATTACCATTTTCTCAGGCAAATGTACAAAATTCATTTTAATGATAAGGTAAAAACTTATTTGCAGTCAAGGAGCAATGGAAGATTCTTCTCACTGGCTTTGTAGGAACCATGATTTTGTCCCCTACTTGTACACAACAAAACCAACCAGAAAACTTACTTTATCCTTACTTTTTACATTAGCAAACTTAGCTTCCTATGTACTACTGCCAAATCTCCAAAAGTAAATGTTTAAGTAAAAATAAACAAAAACAGAAGGAAAAAGGAATCAAACTTTTCTTTTACCACAGTGGGGATAGGATTGAGTTTTAAAAAGTTTACTTGGAGCCAGCAGATGGCATGGTGGTTAACCACTGGATTCACACATGGCTAATCATGGTTTGAGCCCCAGACCCAACAGCTTGAAAATCAGGCTGGGCACATGTGTATGCATGCTAACCAAAATCTCAAGATGAGAATGGTATGGCTATCCCCCTGTGGAATAATTTCTCATCTTCCCTCTCTTTCCTCTCTTGTGAGCTCATATGCCCTATGGCAGAAACCTTAAAAAAAAAAAAGAAAAAAAAAGTTTACTTAAGGGCTGGTTCTGTGGCCTGATGGCTAAAGGAACTTGATCTTCTAAGGCCAGCTGCCTGGTTTGAAACCCAGCTCTGGCACCTTGAAAAAGCATGCCAAGCATGTATGTGTGTACACTTAAAATCCCAATAGGATGGAGGAGTGGAGAAGGGATTATAGCAGGACCATGCCCTGGGGTGGTGCCTTCTCCTCCTCCCTCTGGCTTTGTTTCTCCCTTGCTAGTGTACCACCCTCTGGCCAAATAAAAAAAAGAAAGAAATTATCCTTAAATGAAAGAAACATAAGGATTCTGGAATTCTAATAAAGTATGATTTGTACAACACCCCAGTTTTGGGGAGAAGTGTGAAAAATGTGTATGTTAGGATCTTAGAATCAGTTAAATATGGTGCTCAATTCTTACATGGCCAGGCAGAGTATATACTTTGTGAGAACACAAAAGTTTTAAACACCCAATCCCTATCCTCACAGTGTTTGCATTCTGGTGGGTAGGTGACAGTACCAGTGTTACTGATGTTACTCCCTTATTCGAGCACCACAAGAAAGTTATACCTAAGCAGCCTAATTCTTCTTTAATATCCAGTCTAATTTCATGCCTTTAATGTGAATTGCTGCCTTAGGAAATTATAGGTTTGAAGCTAGCCACTTATTATAGGTATTTATTACTAGAATAGAGATGCTAAAATGTGCAGATACGCAGTGAGCCCTTTGCTCCACCATTGTTTTTTTACTTCATTAGCAGATAGCTGCTAGATGGAAGAATATAGTTTAGTTTGCTTGAAGTAATATATTCATTAGTTTTCACTTTTATTTTGTGGTTGTTTATATAATAAATTTAACTTAAAGAAATGGACAGGAATAAGGTCAATAGGAAAGCAGCTGAGGAAACTTACTTGTGTGTTTTTACTGCTCGGCTAAAACCAGTGGATGTACAGGAACCAGATGCAGTTTTATAGCCCAGTTGTTCGGACATGCCCAGATTGGCAACCACTAAAGGTATCCTATAAAAAAGTCTAAGGAGATAAAAATTTAAATATAAATTTAGAATAAAGAGGAAAATCAGTATCTATTAGAATAAATTACCTTTCCTCTGAGAATTAAAAAAAAAAAACCTGTATTAACTTATCCAATTTATTGACTGAGGCAAGTAGCAAGCACTCATGCATACACGCGTGCTTTCACTCATTTTTTTAAGTTTTGCTACAGGACACGTGCATTCACTGGGGAGAGAAAGTAAGAAATTATCTCCTAGTGGGGATGGCCATGCTGCAGTTCCCTTCTCTATTCTCCTCTTGGGATTTTGGGCATGCAGGCACACACATGCACCTGGACAGTTTTTCAAGCCTCTGGGTTTGGGATTTGAACTGCATTGTAGGCCTTGTGGGATCCAGCCACCTTATTCACTAGAGGCTGGCCTGAGGCAGGTTGCTTTTAAAAGTTGTAAAATATTCAGGGTATAAGGTGATTATATGAAAAAAAAATTAAATATATTAAATATATTTTAATGGCTATATTTCTTTTAAGGTTTTTGCCATAGGGCGCATATGTTTGCCAGAGAGTGAGTGAGCTAGTGAGGGGGAAAATGAGAAGTTACTCCTCAGGGAGGATGGCCACCCCACAATCCCTTCTCTTCTATTCTCCTGGGTTTTTTTTTTTTTTTTTTTTTTTTTTTTTTGAGAGGTTTTCGCTATAG